TTTCTGTCAATTTTATGTAATGTAGCAAGATTGTTCTTAAATTTCAAAAACTTAATTAAAATTATGTCAATAATGATTACTCTATTATATCTTTTTATTATGTCGCAGTCTCATTCGTTGTCGCAGCATCTTTTCAAATTGGAGCATGAAAGATGGCGACATTTAAGAACAACATTGTCGCCTTTTTTTACATCCGGTAAATTAAAAGAGATGTTTTTTTTAATGCTGAAATGCGCCGATCATCTTGAGCAATATATAGATAAATTAACAGACAAAAACAAACTGATAGAATGTCGCGAATTGACGGCAAAATTTACGATCGATATAATAAGTACATGCGCTTTCGGCCTAGAGATAAATGCTCTATCGGATGAAAACAGCGAATTTCGCAAGATGGGAAAATTGGTTTTCGCGCCAAGCTGGAAAAATAATTTACTAGCAAAAATAAAACAATTCTTGCCACTGCTCTACGAAGTGATCCATTATTTCCTACCACGCTCTGAGATAACCGCATTTTTTACACGTGTTGTTAGAGATACCATGAAATATAGAGAAATGAATAATGTCATTAGGCACGATTTTATTGATATTCTGCGCGAATTAAAAAAACATCCAGATAAAGTGGGTGATATCAGTAAGTGACGATTTTCCTTATAAATATATTTTCCAGCAGACATAATGTTTTTAAATAGAATAGTTTATAAATTTGTATGTATAGAATATATATTAGTTTATACTAAATATATATATAAATCTTGAAGTAGATTATTCACATAATTTTTAATATCCTACAAAAATACAAATATTATTCGTAAAAAGAAAATATCACATTTTAGAGTTAACCGACAGCTTGATAACGTCTCAAGCATTTGTATTTTTTATTGTTGGTTTTGAAACTTCATCGACGACCATAAGCAATGCACTGTATGAATTGGCATTAAATCAAGATATACAAGACAAATTACGTGAGGAAATTGACGAAGAGTACATTAAGAACGGTAGCAATTTAATATATGAGAATGTAAAGAAGATGAATTACTTGGACAAAGTGTTCAAAGGTACGTCATTTGAAGAAAAAAATTAAAAAAGCAAGCTCTGCTGTTGTTCTTCAACGTCAATAAAATTTTAATAGTGTAGTTGCTGATAAATTAATTGTAATAATATTACTCACATATATTTCTAAATAATTTATACATTTTACCTATACACATAACTCATAAAAAACACTATGCACAGTTAATTCTTCCTTTCACTGTTTTTAATATATATAGAGACTTTACGAAAATATCCACCAGCGACAGTTCTTAAGAGACAATCAATGTCAAGTTATACTTTCGAGGGTACCAATGTTAGTATACCAAAAGATCAGAAGGTATGGATTCCGATTTTCGCGATTCATCGGGATCCGAATATTTATCCGAAGCCAGATATTTTTGATCCAGAAAGATTCGCTGACGAAGTAGTGCAAACCAGGCATGCGATGCATTTTCTACCTTTCGGCGATGGACCAAGAAATTGCATTGGTAAATTGAAATGTGTAAATTAAATTTCCTCAAATTTTGTTCATTCTGCTTTTAGAGGAAGAATTATTCTAATAGAGAAATTTTCCCGTAATAATAATATATTTATTTTTCAGGTGCTCGGTTCGCCATTCATCAGACAAAGATTGGTCTTATAAAGGTATTACGAAACTATAAAGTTGAAACTTGTGATAAAACGCAAATACCCTACGTAATTGATCCTAAAGCGGTTCTATTAACTCCAAAGGATGGAATACATTTGAAAATATCTAAAATCAATCGAACTTAGTTAATATTTTATCATTTCTCTTAAGAAGCATACGTAAAATAACGTAATTTAATGATTTTTAATTTTAATTACATATGCTAACATATATACAGTATATATAAATTCTTTAAGTTTGAATTTTTTTGCTATTATAACAATGGCCAAAGATAAAATGTAATTAAATTTAACTAAGCAAAATGGACTACGGTAATTGATAAATAAATTTAATTATTAATTAATTGAGATATTACTTTAATTTTATTATTATGTAGTTATACATCTATTTTCAACATAATCATTGAATTTTCTTTTCATTGTCAACAACGATTTTAGTCAAATATATATTTTACACTTTATCTTTAAACTGCTGTATATTATTAAATGTTGTAACGCAATAGTAAACGTTATCAATAATTATATATTTTAAATTATCTATTTATATATTAGCATAGAATATAAAAGACAGTATAACTGCTATTATTAATATGGTAAAAAATATTTACAACGTTTCTCACTCTTCTTCTCTGATGTAAATAATTTATTTCTTCAGCGGAGATTACACAACCAAGATATTTAAATATTTTGAAATTTTTTGTTTATTTGAGATTTAAATTCATGTACAAATACATACAAGTGGAACATATTTATTAATGTTTATATTTGATCATAATCAGTATTTCAAGTGAATTGTAGTTTAATTCATAATGTTTGCATTTTGAAATAAACATATTAATTTATTCTTTAAATCTCATATTATTATACGAGATTCAAAAATTGCAGAAATAATTAATGTCAATGGAACTGTAAATTAAGTTGTTGAAGTACATATCAAAAATTAATATTATATCAATATTTATATTATTATACCATATTAATTCATGCAATCCAATTCATCCAATCCAGAAATAAATTTCAACGCTAAACATTCTATATGAGCATATAGAGAAAGAGAGAAAGAGAGATAGAAAGAGAGATAGAGCGAAAGAGGGGCAGAGAGGGGGGGAGGAAACATATAAACGAGGAATAATCTAAAAAATCCTATACTATATCAGTCAGATTTAGTTTAACTTGAGTCTTTAAAATAATGTCATAATTTAAGCGCTATATAAAGCTATATTATTTCATATGTGAATAACTTTTGAATATTTCAAAAATAAACGTAAAAATTAAATAAAATAATAAACAGGTTTTCAATAAAACAAATTATAAAAATTTAAATAAATAACACAGGGCAATTGAAAAATTGCAGGATTGAAGGTAAGAGAATAAACATAATTTTAGTGAAAATTTATCATTTTATTATAGATGTTTCGGTCTAGGAAATAAACCATTTTAAGTACACTATGAGAATTAACAATAATTAATGTTGGTACGATATTAATAAAGAAATTAAGTGGATACATTCCAATATTGAATTCATGACCAGTACATCAGTGGTCAGTAATGACAGAGTGTTCGTTTGTGTTACGATTTATATGCAACAATGTTCATTTATTCTAATTTTTGAAATGACATTAGCATCTTAAATAAGGAACTCATTTTGGGAAAAAGATTGATATCAATTAATAATAATATTTATTAAATGACAAAACAACAATATAAATTTTTTGAAGACCAATACTCATCAACTCAATAATATTTATTTAACTACGATTGAAAACATGAAAACGATATAACTAGACTATTATTATGACTCCTGAGGTTGTTTAAAAAAATTTTATTTATGTTTATATTTTACCCGGTTCTTACCTCGGTTTGTCTTTGTTAATTCAGTCGTTAACAAGCGTTTAAATAAATACATATATTTTTAACATAATCAACGAATTTTTTTTTTCACTGTCAACAGCGATTTTAGACAAATATATATTTTACACTTTATCTTTAAATTGCTGTATATTATTGAACGTTGCAACACGATATCTAACGTTATCTATATTTTAATTTACATATCTATATATTAGCATAGAATATAAAAGATAGTATAACTGCCATTATTAATATGATAAAAAATATTTACAAACGTTTCTCATTCTTCTTCTCTGATGTAAATAATTTATTTCTTCAGCGGAGATTACACAACCAAAATGTTTAAATTTTATTTTGAAATTTATTAGCTTATTTGAGATTTAAATTCATGTACGAATGCATACATTTGGAACATATTTATTAATTGTTTATATACAATCATAATTAGTATCTTGTGAATGGTAGTTTAATTCATAATGTTTGTATTTTCAAATAAACAAATTAATTTATTGTTCAAACAATTTATTATTTATATTATATTAAAACATTTAAAGTTTGGTAAAATATTAATTGTCAAGAAAATTTTTAATTAAGAAAAAATATATTTAAGTACATTTTTAAACAAGTAGTTAAAGTACACATATCAAAATTTAATACATATTATTAATATCAATATTTATATTATTATATCATTTGATGTAATCCAATTAATTCGGTTCAAAAATATATCAATTCTGTGACTTCAAGAAAAACCACTATTTATTAAAATGGAAAAAATAACACAATCAACAAGCAATTCTAATATACATCCATAAAGTAAAACGTAAACAAAATAATCAATGGACGATATGCTCTAGATAAATTAAAATAAGTAATGGATATAATATAATCCACATGAATATCATCTTCTACATACTTTAAAAATTCTCACGAAAATTTATATTTAAATTTATTTCTTTATAGTTTATCTATACAGAACTATATCCATAAATTAGTTATAATAATATAAAAAGTTCATTGTTATAGATCAATATATATCTCGTGTGATGTATTTTACATTCTATGTCTTATAATCAAATAGTATTTATAAATAGTTATTATAAATTATAATTACCGAAAAACAATAATTATTTTATAAGTTGACTGTACTAACATATTGCGTTGCAACGTTTGTACGAATATTTAAGTATACATATAGTATATATACTGCACAGTTTAATTAAAAACAAATTATCTGATCAATTAATTAATTTCGATGTTATATATTTGCAAAACAATTTTGTGAATCTAAACAATATATTTTTCGGAATTTATCATGATTAACATGATTTTTTGGGTCAAACATCATCTTGCGATTATTTTACATTAAAATTGCGATAACCTTATGATAACCTTGCAATAACTTTTATAAGTTGACACTACTTATACCATAACGTATATTATTTAAAATCATTGTGACAAGTTAGTAAGCCAGAATAACTGCGGATGTACAAACAGCTGTAATTATAAATTGCGTAGCCGCTGCAGTTATGTACGTTATCTTAATTGATTATTTACATGTTGTGCTTTATTAACATGCGAATTGCATAAAACATACATTTCAACTATATCATACAAATAATCGTATTAATACTCGTACAAATATATATATATATCGTACAAATAATCGTAATAATATTTTGAAAGATAATTTCATATCCTTTTGTAAAAAGTCATTTCGAAATGTATACGTGTATGTGCATACATATACTCCGCCTTTAAAATAGGTGAATAGCCTCAAATTTTCCTATTTCATCACATGCAATTATTTGCAAAAATCATTCACTTGTTGACAAAAAAAATGTGATTTAACAAAAGAAATTTTATCCAAGTCAAGTAATTTTTCTGCTAGTGTATATAAATGTGTGTAATAAATAATAATGTTATATCAGCTTGATACATTCGTGAGTCTGAGAAATTGTTATAAACAGAAAAATATTCTATTGCGTGTGCTAAAAAAAATCATCACTCAGTTGACACTTCATCATTTAAGTAATAGTTTGCTTTAACAAAGAATATGTATTTGATAATAATCTAAAAACTCATTCAAAATTTTAAGCATATTCATTATCATAAACTAAAAACAGATAAATATTTTCTTTTGAAAAATATTATAAAATCCTATCCTATATAAGTCAGATTTAGTTTTACTTGACTCTTTAATTTAATATCATAATCTAACAATAAACGTTATATAAAGTTTTTTCATTTCATATGTGAAAAATTTGTGAAAATAAAAATTTTTTTCATTTCATATGTGAAAATATTTCAAAAATAACAGTAAAAAATATTTAAAATAATAAACAAATTCTCAATAAAACAAATTATAAAAATTTAAATAAATAACACCAAGCAACTGAGAAACTACTGCAGGATAAAAGGTAAGATGGTCCAATTCCTAGGACCGACACGTCTATAATAAAGTGATAAATTTTCACTAAAATTATGTTTATTCTGGCACCTTCCACCCTGCAGTGGTTACTCAGTGGCTCGGTGTCATTTATTTAAATTTTTATATATTTTGAATACTTGTGTAGTATTTTTTCAAAAAGAAAGTTTTCATATTTCAATTTATATTTCAAATTTTGCACTATATGTACACTACATGTATATCAGATATGCTTATGTATAAGATCTCTCGAAAATTCTCTTTGATATCGATATAATCAACTTAAATATATAATATTTCGTCAAATGTGTATTTGGTTTATCACAAATTCTTTAATTCACAAAACAAACTCCTTCTGACAAAATATTGTTTTTCTATTTTAGCAAACGTCACTTAAGGTAATTAATTAGGAGCTGCAAGATAATGGAACCTGTTGAAATATTGTGCGGCATTTCTGCCCTATGTGTCGCTGTTTATTATTACTTGACATCGACCTATGATTTTTGGAAAGTACGTGGCGTTCCCGGTCCAAAACCGTTACCGGGTTTCGGTAATATTAAAGATATTCTACTTAATAAAAAATTCCCTGGCGACTATTTGAGAAATATATATAACGAGTACAAAGATGAAGACATGATTGGAATATTCGCTAGAAAAACACCAATTCTTGTTGTAAAAAATCCAGAGTTAATTAAAAATGTACTCATCAAAGATTTTTCCAACTTCGCAAACCGAGGATTTCCTGTTAGTGAAAAAGTATGTGTGAAAATATGTTAAATTTATATTATACGTGATAATTTTTCTGCGATCAATTTTATGTAATCTAATAAAAATGTTCGTAAATTTCAAAAACTCAATTATAATTATGTCAATAATAATTACTCAATTATGTCTTTTTTCTTATATCGCAGTCAGATCCATTGTCGCAACATCTTATCAACTTAGAGCAAAAAAGATGGCGACCTTTAAGAATAAGATTGACACCTGCTTTTACATCCGGTAGATTAAAGGAGATGTTCTCTTTAATGTCGGAATGCGCCGATCATCTTGAGCAATGTATAGATAAACTAATTGACAAGGACGCACCGGTAGAATGTCGCGAATTGACGGCAAAATTTACGACCGATGTAGTAGGTAGATGCGTTTTCGGCCTAGAGATGAATGCTCTATCGGATGAAGACAGCGAATTTCGCAGGATGGGAAAATTATTTTTTACGCCAAACTGGAAAAATAATTTACGGGCAAAAATAAGACAATTCCTGCCACAATTCTACGAAGTAATCCATTATCTTCTACCACATTCTGAGGTTACAACACATTTTACACGCGTTGTTAGAGATATCATGAAATATCGAGAAATGAATAACGTCATTAGGCACGATTTTGTCGATATTTTGCGTGAATTGAAAAAACATCCAGAAAAATTGGACAATATCGGTAAGTGACGATTTTCCTTATGAATATATTTTCTATCAAACATAATGTTTCTAAAACAGAAAAAGTTTATAAATTTGTACGTATAGAATATATATTAGTTTACTATATGTATATTAATCCTAAAACAGATTGATTATTCACATAATTTTTAATATTCTACAAAAAACAAATATTATTTGTATAAACAAAATATCACATTTCAGAGTTAACCGAAAGTTTGATAACTTCTCAAGCATTTATATTTTTTATTGCTGGTTTTGAAACTTCATCGGTAACCATAAGCAATGCACTCTATGAATTGGCATTAAATCAAGATATACAAGTCAAATTACGTGAAGAAATTGACGAAGAGTACATTAAGAACGGTAGCAATTTAATATATGAGAACGTAAAGAAGATGAATTACTTGGACAAAGTTTTCAAAGGTATGTCATTTGAAAAAAGAATCAATAAAATAAAACTGTTATTCTTCCGCGCCATTAGAATTTCAATAGTGTAATTGCTGACAAATTAATTTTTATAATATATACACATGTATCTCTAAATAATTTATGCTTTTTACACATTCATAAATAATTCTGCACAATTAATTCCTCCTTTCACTGTTCTTAACATATATATAGAGACTTTACGAAAGTATCCGCCAGGGACAGTTCTTACGAGACAATCAATGTCAAGTTATACTTTCGAGGGTACCAATGTTAGTATACCAAAAAATCAGAAGATATGGATTCCGATTTTCGCGATTCATCGGGATCCGAATATTTATCCGAAGCCAGATATTTTTGATCCAGAAAGATTTGCTAACGAAGTAGTGGAAACCAGGCATGAGATGCATTTTCTTCCTTTCGGTGATGGACCAAGAAATTGCATTGGTAAATTGAAACGTGTAAATTAAATTTCTTCAAATTTCGTTCGTTCTGCTTTTAAAAAAAAATTATTTTAATAGAGAAATTCTCTTGTAATAATTATTTATTTATTTTTCAGGTGCTCGTTTTGCCATTTATCAAATAAAGATTGGTCTTATAAAGATACTACGAAACTATAAAGTTGATACTTGTGATAAAACGCAAATACCCTACGTAATTGAACCTAAAGCTCCATTTTTATTAGATGCAAAGGGTGGAATACATCTGAAAATAACTAAACGCAATCGAACTTAGTTCATATTTTATCATTTCTCTTAAGAAACATGCGTAAAATACATAATTTAGTGATTTTTAATTATAATTACATATGCTTGACATACATTTAATATAAAAATTGTTTAATCGAGGGATTGGTCACTAGTGGTTATAGTGTACCAAAAATTACCCTTGATACGGATTACCTTTAAATTACCTCAGAGTATCTAATACTACCATAGAATACCAATTACTATCTTAGATTACCTAATACTACCTCAGATTACTTAATACTACCTCAAATTACTTAAGATTACCAAATATTACCTCAAATTACTCAAGATTATTAAGTTTGATTTTTTTTATTATTATAACAATGGCCAAAGATAATATGTAATTTTATTTAACTAAGCAAAATGGATTACATTAATTGATAAATAAATTTAATTATTATTTAATTGAGATATTATTTTAAGCTTTATTATTATTTAGTTATATACACATATTTTTAACATAATCATCGAATTTCTTTCTTATTGTCAACAGCTGTTTTAGGCAAATATATATTTTACACTTTATCTTTAAACTGCTGTATATTATCAAACGTTGCAACGCAATATCGAACGTTATCTATAATTACGTATTCTAAATTACTTATTTATATATTAGTATAGAGTATAGAAGACAGTATAACTACTATTATTAATAACGTAAAAAATATTTACAACGTTTCATAATGTTTGCATTTTCAAATAAACAAATTAATTTATTGTTCAAATTTCATATTATATTAAAAAGTTCAAAAAATCGTAAAACATTAATTGTCAACGAAATTTTAAATTAAGGAAAAAATATATTCAAGTGCATTTTTAAACAAGTAGTTAAAGTACATAAAATTTACATCGAAATTTAATACATATTATTAATATGTCTACATATTACTAATATCAACATATATTTATTTTATTATATTTCACGCAATCCAATTAATCCGGTCCAAAAATATATAATTCTGTGACTTCAAGAAAAGCCACTATTTATTAAAATGGTAATAATAACACAACCAACAAGTTGCAATTTTAATATACATCCATAAAGTAAAACGTAAACAAAAATAATCAATGGACGATATGCTCTAGATAAATTAAAATAAGTAATGGATATAATATAATCCATATGAATATCATCTTCTACATACTTTAAAAATTCTCACGAAAATTTATATTTAAATTTATTTCTTTATAGTTTATCTATACAAAACTATATCCATAAATTAGTTATGATAATATAAAAAGTTCATTGTTATAGATCAATATATATCTCGTGTGATGTATTTTACATTCTATGTCTTATAATCAAATAGTATTTATAAATAGTTATTATAAATTATAATTACCGAAAAACAATAATTATTTTATAAGTTGACTGTACTATCAAACTGCGTTGCAGCGTTTGTATGTATGTATATCTCAGTATACATATAATACATGTAGTGTACAATATAGCTTATCTAATCAATTAATTCTTCTCGGTGTTATGCATTTGCAAAGACATTTTGTGAATTTATAAGATATATTTTCTGCAATTCATTGCCACTTTTGTTTTTCGAACATCTCCTTACAATGACACTTTATCATTTGATACAACTTGTACTACGACATATATTATTTCCAGTCATCGTGACAAGTTGGTAGAATAACTGCTAGAATAACTGCGGATGTGCAAGCTGCTGCAATTATAAATTGCGTAACCACTGCAATTAGGTACGTCATATTAATCGATTATTTGTTGTCCATTATTAATGTGCGAATCGTATAAAACATACATTTCAACTATATCGTACAAATAATCATAACATTTTAAAAGATCATTTCATATCCTTCTTGTGAAAAGTCATTTCGAAATGTACGTATATGTATGTATGTATGTACAAACTCCGTCTTTAGAAACAAGTGAATAGTCTCAATTTTCCTATTTCATCAAATGCGTTCATTTGCAATAATCAATCATTTGTTGACGAAAAAAGTGTGATACATCGAAACGAATTTTATCCAAGTCATGCAATTATTTTGCTAGTGTATATAAACATGTGTGATAAATAATAACGTTATATCAGCTTGATGCATTCGTGATTCCGAAGAATTGTTACAAAACAGAAAAATATTGTAAGTGCTAAGAAAAATATTCACGCTGTTGAATCTTCTTCATTTAAGTAATAGTTCGCTTTAACAAAAAATATGTTTTTGACAATATGCTAAGAACTCTTAAAAAATTTTTTAAATATTCATTATTATAAACTAAAAACAAGAAAATATTTTCTTTCGCATAATATTATAAAATCCTATACCATATAAGTCTGATTTATTGTTAGTTTTCCTTGACTCTTTAAAATAATATCATACTTTGAGCGCTATACAAAATTATTAAATTTTTTATTTGAATAACTTGTCAATATTTGTTTAGTATTCTTCCAGAAAGGAAATTTTTATACACCAATTTATATTTTAAATTTAGCACTATATGTATGTGCATCAAATATGCTTATGTATGAGATCTCTCGAACATACTTTCTTTGATATCGGTATAATCAACTTAAATTCAGTTATCTTAAATATGTTTTCGTTAAATATGTATTTGATTTATCGTGAACCTCTTTTTAAATTTTTATTTCTTAAAACAAGCTTCTTCTGATGAAATATTGTTCTTTCTATTTTAGCAAACGTCTCTTGAGATAATTAATCGACAGCTGCAATACAATGGAACCTTTTGAAATATTGTGCGGCATTGCTGCGATATGTCTCGCTGTTTATTATTATTTGACATCAAACTATGACTTTTGGAAATCACGTGGCGTTCGCGGTCCGAAACCGTTACCGGGTTTCGGTAATTTCAAAGATGTCATATTCAATAAAAAATTCACTGGTGACTATTTGAGGGATATATATAACGAGTACAAAGATGAAGACATGATTGGAATATTTGCTAGAAAAACCCCAATCCTTCTTGTAAAAATCCAGAATTAATTAAAAATATACTCATTAAAGATTTTTCCAATTTCGCAAACAGAGGACGTCCTGTTAATGCAAAAGTTAGTGTAAAAATATGTTAAACTTTTAGTATACGTGATAATTTTTCCCTCAATAAACAGAATTATTAAATATCTTTATATTATAGGTAAATTGCGTTTTTTCTGTCAATTTTATGTAATCTAGCAAGAATGTTCTTAAATTTCAAAAGCTTAATTATAATTATGCTAATAATAATTACTTTATTATATCTTTTCATTATATTGCAGGCTGCTCCATTGTCGCAAAATCTTGCTAGCTTGGAACATGAACGATGGCGACCTTTAAGGACAAGATTGTCGCCCGTTTTTACATCCGGTAAATTAAAGGAGATGTTCTCTTTAATGTCGGAATGCGCCGATCATCTTGAACAATATATAGATAAACTAATTGACAAGAACGAACCGGTAGAATGTCGCGAATTGACAGCCAAATTCACGACCGATGTAATCGGTACATGCGCTTTTGGCCTAGAGATGAATGCTCTATCGGATGAAGACAGCGAATTTCGCAGGATGGGAAGATTAATTTTCGCGCCAAGCTGGAAAACTTATTTACGTTCAACAATAACAGAATTCATGCCACGGCTGTACGGAGTGATCCATTATCTTCTACCACACTCTGAGATAACCACATTTTTTACACGCGTTGTTAGAGATACTATGAAATATAGAGAAACGAATAATGTCATTAGGCACGATTTCATTGATATTCTGCGCGAATTAAAAAAACATCCAGATAAAGTAGGCAATATCAGTAAGTGACGATTTTCTTTTTGAATATATTCTCTATCAAACATAATGTTTTTAAAAGAAAAAGTTAATAAATTTGTACGTATAGAATATATATTAGTTTACTATATGTACATTAATCCTAAAGCAGATAGATAATTCACATAATTTTTAATATTTTACAAAAACAGATATTATTCGTATAAAGAAAATATCACATTTCAGAATTAACCGAAAGTTTAATAACTTCTCAAGCATTTGTATTTTTCGTTGCTGGCTTTGAAACTTCATCGACGACCATAAGCAATGCACTCTATGAATTGGCATTAAATCAAGATATACAGGACAAATTACGTGCGGAAATTGACGAAGAGTACATTAAGAACGGTAGCAATTTAATATATGAGAACGTAAAGAAGATGAATTACTTGGACAAAGTTTTCAAAGGTACGTCATTCGCAAAAAAAAAAAATATATATATATATATATATATATATATGAATAAAAAAAGCTTTGCTGTTGTTTATCAGCGTCATTAGAATTTCAATAGTGTAATTGCTGATAAATTAATTCTAATAATATATACACATGTATTTCTAAATAATTTGTATTTTTTACATAGACTCATATATAATGCAGCATAATTAATTCTTCCTTTCATTGTTTTTAACATATATATAGAGACTTTACGGAAATATCCGCCAGGGACAGTTCTTAGAAGACAATCAATATCAAGTTATACTTTCGAGGGTACTAATGTTAGTATACCAAAAGATCAAACGGTATGGATTCCGATTTTCGCTATTCATCGGGATTCGAATATTTATCCGAAGCCAGATATTTTTGATCCAGACAGATTTGCTGACGAAGTAGTGCAAACCAGGCATGCGATGCATTATCTACCTTTTGGTGATGGACCAAGAAATTGCATTGGTAAAATGAAATGTGTAGATTAAATTTCTTCAAATGTTGTTCGTTCTGCTTTTAAAGGAAAAATTATATTAATATGTAAATTTTCTTGTAATACTTATTTAATTATTTTTCAGGTGCTCGATTCGCCATTCATCAGACAAAGATTGGTCTTATAAAGATACTACGAAGCTATAAAGTTGAAACTTGTGATAAAACGCAAATACCCTACGTAATTGATCCTAATGCGATTTTATTAGCTCCAAAGGGTGGAATACATTTGAAAATAACAAAAATCAATCGTACTTACAATTAGTTGAAATTTTGTTATTTCTCTTAGGAAGCATGCGTGGAGAAATGTAATTTAGTGATTTTTAATTATAATTAATTGTTATTATAACAATTATGTTAATTGTTAAAATAATCTATGTCAATAATATTTTAAATTTAGAAAAACGCAATAATAAAGTGCATTTTGTAATCAAGTATAGTTAAAGTACATATCAAAATTGAATACATACTATATCAATATTTATGTTATTATATCAATTCAGAAGATTCTGATAAGCTTAGAGAAAAAGAGAAAAAAGGAAGGGTAGATAAAAATTATTTAATACAAATATTCAATACGATATATACTTTTCAGATATAGATTAAAATATTGCACCGATACGTAAAACTAATTTTTAATTATAATTAATCAAAAAGACTCTGATATACATAATTAACAAATTAAAGTTTAAATAAAGAAATATTTTATAACAAAATTGTGACTAATTTTTGCACTTCTTATTAGCCTGTATCCAGTTTGATCTTCATTAATATTCAATTAATAGAATTTTATAGAATGTAAATTGTATAAATTGATAAATTTATTTTTGTTTAGTAATTTAGTATATTCTTATCTTATGAATAATTTCTTGCCGGAAGAATTAGACATTTTTTTAAGCACACGACTTAACGAAATTTTGAGAAAATACAAAATAAATGTTTGCTAGAGAGTTTATCTATATATCTATATACTGTTTCCATTCTGTGACTTCAAGAAAAGCCACTACTTTTTAAATGATAAAAATAACACAAACATCAAGTTATAATTCTAATATACATCCATAAAGTAAAATGTAAACAAAATAATCACTGGAGGATATGCTCTGAATTAATAAATTCAAATAATAGATGTAATGTAATCCATATGAATATCATAATCTTCACATATTAAATGTTCTGAAAAAATTTACCAAAATTTACATTTAAAATTGTTTTTATATAATTTATCTATACAAAACACAATCCAATAAAATAGATGTTATAAATAGATATAAATTATAATTACCAAAAAATGATAATTATATATTATAAGTAATGACTGTACTAACAAATTGCGTTGCAGCGTTTGTACGTATGCCTCATTGTCAGTATACAGATAGTATATGTAATGTACAGTATGACTATAAAAACAGATGATCTAATCAATTAATTTTTTTCATTATTATTATTTACAAAGTCATACATTTGAACATTTTTGCGCTGAAGATGTATCTTAAAGATGTATTTTGCGCAATTCATCGTGACTCAGGTTGCTCGGACATCTAATATGGTAATGCATATGTCACATATTAATCGCTTATTCGAATGCTGTCCTTCGTAAGTCTTGCGAAGTGCGTAAAACATTCACATCGTATATCGTATGAATAATTATAATATTTTTAAAGATAATTTTATCTTCGTATCTTTTTCAAAGGAATCATTTCGAAATGTACTTGTATTCCCTTCTTGAAGAGAGGAGAATGTCCTCAATTCTCCGTATTTCACGCTCCAATGCGATCATTTGCGAATGTATCATTTACTTGCGGACAAAAAAATGTGATTTATCAAGAGAAAATTTATCGTGAAGAGTGATGCAACACTTTTCCATTTGCTGAAATGCATACATACACAAAAGTGTAGTAAATAACAATGTCATATCATCCTGATGCATTAGTAGTTCCGAAGTGTTGCTGACAAACACCACATCTGATTTTATTACGTCGCGTTAATTTGAATTTCTAATAGTACGCAACAAGTTTCTATTCTGGAAGCATAATCTTGAAGCAGATGTTATAATTTCCAACTATACAGTGAGTGTTATTTGTTATATATTAATAATCTGTGCATATGTTAATAATCTTTGCAAACTTCTCTGCAAACCATCTGTCAATTTCAGCCGTATACTTTATCGCCTACTTTTTATCTCCATTTCCTTAATAATATATTAATAAATACACAGATCTAAAGCTTTCTTACATCTTCGTGATATACGTACTGTATTAATGCGAGGGAAACATTTTTTGTTTGTTTGATTTTAATGTCTTGAAAGATATATCTAATTAGCTTCAATTATAAATTGATAATTTTAATTAATTAGTAAATTTGATTGCGTATTAATTAATTGGTAAATTTGAAATGCGTATGAAAATATTTTCTTTAATTAAATTGTAATCGGGTATATAGAAACGAGTAATCATGTACGAGAGAAATGATAAGATTATACATTCATAAATATCATAAATTAAAATTTTATTTTATGACTGGTTACTAAATTACAGTAATAAGATCTAAAAAAAAGATAATTTGCATAACATCATAATTTGCGCAATATGAATAAGTTGTGTGTCATTTTATATCTCAGTAATCTGTAAACATTTGCTTAGTATTCTTTCTGAAAGAAAGTTTTTATATTTCGATCAGTATTTTCGATTTCGACTGTATGCATGTACTTATATCTATGTAAGCAATCTTTCTATCAATTAGATATCGATAAAATCTGCCTAAATTTAAATATCATAAATGTATATTTCGTCAAATATATATTTTTATCAAACTTTTTATGAAATTTTTAACTTCTTAAAACACACTATTTTTAAATTTGTTTTATTCATTTTCAGCAAACGTTGCTCGAGATAATTGATCAACAGCTACAGGATATAATGGGGCCTTTTGAAATATTGTGCGGCATTGCTGCAATATGTCTCGCTATGTATTATTACTTGACATCGACCTACGATTTTTGGAAATCACGTGGCATTCGCGGTCCAGAACCGATACCAGTTTTCGGTAATTTTAAAGATGTTATGTTTAATAAAAAATTTGCTGGTGAATACTTGATGGATATGTATAAAGAGTACAAAGATGAATCCATGATTGGAATATTCGCTAGAAAAACACCAATTCTTATTGTAAAAGATCCTGAGTTAGTTAAAGATATTCTCATCAAAGATTTCTCCAAATTCGCCGACAGAGGACTTACTGTTAGTGAAAAAGCAAGTATAAAAATATTTTAAACTTATATTATAATACTCAAACTATATAAATGGGTTTCGATAACTTTGATATTTTTCTCTCCAATAATCGGAATTATTAAAAATCGTAACATTATAGTAATAAAATAAGTTTCTTCATTTAATCTCGTGTCACCTAAAAAAATGTTTTTTAATTTCGAAAACTTATTCAATTATAATTGTTTTTTACTATATTGCAGACTGATCCATTATCGCAACATCTTTTCGCTTTGGAGCCTAAAAGATGGCGACCTTTAAGAACAAGATTGTCGCCCGTTTTTACATCCGGTAAATTAAAGGAGATGTTCTCTTTAATGTCGGAATGCGCCGATCATCTTGAACAATATATAGATAAAATAGTGAAAAAAAACGAGCCGATAGAATGTCGCGAATTGACGGCCAAATACACGACCGATGTAATCGGTAATTGCGTTTTCGGCATTGAGATGAACGCTTTGTCGGACGAAGACAGCGAATTTCGCAGGATGGGAAGATTAATTTTCACACCAACGTGGAAGAATATTCTACGATTAAGAATAAGAGAAAGCATGCCACGGATCTACGACATGTTAAGTTATATCATACCACAATCAGAAGTCACCAAATTTTTCATACGTGTCGTTGTAGATAGCATGAACTATAGAGAAACGAATAATGTCATTAGACATGATTTCATTGATCTACTTCGTGAATTAAAAAAACATCCTGAGAAAGTGGGTGATATCAGTAAGTAACTATTATAAATATTTCTTATCATACAAATATTTTTGAGACGGAAATGTTTATGAATTTGTGCGTATACAAGATATATTAGTTCATAATTAATCATTAGCTATAGATTATGCATATAATTTTTAATATTTAACAAAAAAATACCACATGGTAATAAAAATAATATAAGAAAATATCACATTTCAGAATTAACCGAAAGCTTGATAGCTTCTCAAGCATTCGTGTTTTTCCTGGCCGGCTTTGAAACTTCATCAACGACCATAAGCCATGCACTCTATGAATTGGCAATAAATCAAGATGTACAAGACAAATTACGTGAGGAAATTGACGAAGAGTACACTAAAAATGGTAGCAATTTAATATACGAGAACATAAAGAAGATGAATTACTTGGATAAAGTTTTTAACGGTACGATATTCAAAGAAAAAGTTAATGAAAAAGAAAAATATATGTTGTTGATTTTCAACATCATTAGAATATCAAGTTTTATTGTTAACTTTTAATATATTAATTTATATTACTTAAATTTCACAAATAACTTCAAATAGTTATATCTCTTACATTTTTTTAATATGTAGAAACATTACGAAAATATCCGCCAGTGACATTTCTTATGAGACAAACGACGTCAAGTTACACTTTCGAGGGTACCACAGTTAATATACCAAAAGACCAAAAAGTATGGATTCCGATTTTTGCGATTCAACGGGATCCGAATATTTATCCGAAGCCAGATATTTTTGATCCAGAAAGATTTACTGAAGAAGCAATGCAAACCAGGAATGCGATGCATTTTCTACCTTTTGGTGATGGACCAAGAAATTGCATCGGTAAGTGAAATGTGAAGATTTATTTTCTTTAAAATTCTGTTCGTTTTGCTTTAAAAAAAATTATTTTAATTGAAAAACTTCTTGTAATAATTGTATAATAATTTCTTTTCAGGTTCTCGCTTTGCTATTTATCAGACCAAGATTGGTCTTATAAAAATACTACGAAATTTTAAAGTCGAAACTTGTAATAAAACACAAATACCCTACGTGATTGATCCTAAAGCGTTTCTATTAGCTCCAAAGGATGGAATATATTTGAAAATAATTAAAGTTAATCGAACTTAATTTAAATTTTGTCATTTGTTTCAAAAATCATATGTAACAATGTAATTATTTTAAATTTACGTTATTACGTTTGTAAAATACATATATTGTATAAATTGTTTAAGTTTAAATTATTTCACTATTATAACAATGGACTAAAGATAAAATGTAATTATATTTAGCTAAGTAAAATGGACTACGTTAATTAATATAAATAAGTTTAATTATCAATTAATTGATATCATTTTTAACTTTATTATTATTTAGTTTTATAAATTTACTTTTAACATAATCTTTGAATTTCTTGTTCTTTATTAGCTGCAATTTTGGCCAAATAAATATTTTACACTTTATTTTTAAATCACTGTACATTATTAAACGTTGCAACACAATATCGAGAACGTTATCTATAATTATATATTTTAAATTAATTATAAATTTATAAATTAGCATAGAATAAAAGACAGTATAAGTACTATTATTAATAACGTAAAAAATATTTACGTTTCTCCTTCTTGTGATGTATATATTATTTATTTCTTTAGCGAAGATATACCTTTCAGATATAGATTAAAATATTGCATCGATATATAAAACTAATTTTTAATTATAATAAATCAAAAAGACTTTGATATACAAAATTAACAAATTAAAATTTAAATAAAGAAATATTTTATAACAAAATTGTGACTAATTTTTGCACTTCGTATTAACCTGTATCCAGGCTGAATTTCATATTAATATTTAATTAATAGAATTTTATAGAATGTAAATTGTATAACTTGCTAAATTTATTCTTTGTTTAGAAATTTAGTATATTTTTATCTTACGAATAATTTCTTGCCGGAAACATTAAACATTCTTCAAAGTACACGACTTAACGGAAGTTTGAGAAAATACAAAATAAATGTTTGCTAGAGTTTTATCTATATATCTATAAATTGTTTCCATTCTGTGACTTCAAGAAAAGCCACCATTTCTTAAAATCATAGAAATAACACACACAATAAGTTACAATTCTAATATACATCTATAAAGTGAAATGTAAACAAAATAATCACACTGGATGATATGCTCTAACACTAGATTAATAAATTCAAACAATGGATGTAATGTAATCCATATATAAATATCATTCTTTTCACACATTAAAAATTCTGAAAAAATTGATCAAAATTTATATTTAATGTTTTTCTTTTATTTTTATTCATACAAAACAAAATCCATAATTTAGTTAAAATAATGTAAAAAGTTCATTTTAATTCAATATATCCAATATAATGTATTTTATATTCTATATTTTAGAATCAAATAAATATTATAAATAAATATTAAATTATATAATTACAGAAAATAATTATTTTATGAGTTAATTTTACTAACCCAATGCGTTGCAGCGTTTGTACGTATCAGTATATAGTATATGTAATGTACAGGATGTTTCCGATACATACACATCATTATGTCGGGTTGCCGAAAATATTTTTTAGGAAAATTTTAGTAAAATTTGATTAATAAATTTTATCTATGTTATTTTATCTATATTATTAAATTATATTTTATCTATATTACCCAATTTCACAAGTGTTCACTCTGTATATATAAAACAATAAAGTCGACTTCCTTTCTCATAAAGCATGCCCCTGTCGGTAAGCATAGGCAACCCGACATAATGATGTGTATGTATCGGAAACACCCTGTACAGTATGACTAAAAACAAGTTATCTAATCAATTAATTCTTCACGATATTATTATTTGCAAAGTCATGTATTCAAACATTTGAGATTGGAGATGAACCTCTTACAATTAGATATATTTTGCGCAATTTATTGTAACTCACGTTACTTCTAATGGTGGGCGCATAGCTTTATAATTTGTCCAATTTGGACAACGTATATTATCTCCTGTCACATCGTTGCGAGTTGGTTGACTGAGATAGCTGTGGGTGTATGAGCTGCTACAATTATCAATTACTATCGCATTCAAGTATGTCACATATTATTCGTTTAGTCGAGTGCTGTCCGCCATAAGGCTTGCGAAGCGCGTAAAACATTAATATCGTATATATCGTGTGAATAATTATAACATTTTGAAAGATAATTTTATCTTCATATTATTTTTGAAAGAAATTATTTCAAAATGTACTTCTTGTATTCCCTCCTTGAAGAGAGGAATGTTCTAAATTCTCGTATTTCACGGTCAAATGCGATCATTTGCGGATAGCATTTATTTGCGAACAAAGAAAATGTAATTTGTCGAGAGTTTTATCGACGAGTAAAAGGAGTTTTATGAGTGATACAACAATTTATCATTTACTGGTGCGTATACATACACAAACGTGTGATAAAAAACAACTTGATGCATCTTCTTAATTGCATTTTGATGCAGTCATATTAATTCATTTGTTGGTCCGAGATGTGGCTGGTGAACTGCTTCTGATTCTATTACGTCGCATTAATTTAAATTTATAATAATACGTAACAAGTTTTCATTCTTGAAGCAGATCCTTTAATTCCAAACTAAACAGTGAGTGTTATTTGTTATTATATTGTTAATAATCTGTATACACTCAAAAAAAGTTTGTTAAATAAACAAATATTTAGTTCAATTTGTTCAAATAAATCATTTATTTGAAACAAATAAATATTTATTTGTTTTAAAAAGAATTTTCTTATATCAAATAAATATTTTTTATATCAAATAAATATTTATTTGTTTCAAATAAATGATTTATTTGAACGTATATTAAACTAAATATTTGTTAATTTAACAAACTTTTTTCAGTGTATATATTAATATTCTTTGTAAATTTATCTTTACAAACTATCTGTCAACTTCTGCCATATATTTTATCGCCTACTTTAAGCGATTTTTGGCGTCATTCTGGTATAACAACCAATGTGTACCACAATCGAAATATACGATTCTCATTGGTTCGATACACATTCTAATATACATACCAGAATAACGCCAAAAATCAGCTTTTATCTCCACTTCGTTACTAATAAATACACAGCTCAATAGCTCTCTTACATCATCGTGATATACTGTATTAAAGTGAAGGAATGATTTCTTGTTCGTTTAATTTTAATGCATGTCTTAAAAAATAGCTTAAATCATAAAATGATAAATTTTTAATTATTTACCACAAGCATTTTCGGAAATTGTTTTTTTCTTTTCTTAGCAAACGTTGCTCGAGATAATTGGTGAAAAGCTGCAGGATACAATGGAACCTTATGAAATATTGTGCGGCATTGCTGCGATATGTCTCGCTATGTATTATTACTTGACATCGACCTACGACTTTTGGAAATCGCGTGGAGTTCGTGGTCCACAACCGATACTGGGTTTCGGTAATTTTAAAGATGTTATGTTTACTACAAAATCCATTGGTGACTACTCAACGGATATATATAACGAGTACAAAGATGAATCCATGATTGGAATATTCGCTAGAAAAACACCAATTCTTATTGTAAAAGATCCTGAGTTAATTAAGGATATTCTCATCAAAGATTTTTCTAAATTCGCCGACAGAGGATTTCCTGTTAGCGAAAAAGTATGTGTAAAAATGTTTTAAACTTATAATATTTGAATTATATAAGTGCAATTCGATAATTTTGATATTTTTCTTTCCCATAATCGGAATTATTGAAAATCGTAACATTAGTTATAAAATAAGTTTCTTTATTTAATTACGTGTAATCTAAAAATGTTCTTAAATCACGAAAACTTATTCGATAGTAATTGTTTTTATTATATTTCAGGCTGATCCATTGTCGCAACATCTTTTCGCTTTGGAGCCTAAAAGATGGCGACCTTTAAGAACAAGATTGTCGCCCGTTTTTACATCCGGTAAATTAAAGGACATGTTCTCTTTAATGTCGGAATGCGCCGATCATCTTGAACAATATATAGATAAAATAGTGAATAAGAACGAGCCGATAGAATGTCGCGAATTGACGGCCAAATATACGACCGATGTAATCGGTAATTGCGTTTTCGGTATTCAGATGAACGCTTTGTCGGACGAAGACAGCGAATTTCGCAGAATGGGAAGATTAGCTTTCACACCAACGTGGAAAAATATTCTACGAATGAGAATAAGACAAATCATGCCACGATTCGACGAATTGTTAAGTTATATCATACCACAATCAGAAGTCACCAAATTTTTCATACGCGTTGTTATAGATACCATGAACTATAGAGAAACGAATAATGTTATTAGGCACGATTTCATTGATCTACTTCGTGAATTAAAAAAACATCCAGAGAAAGTGGGAGATATCAGTAAGTGACTACTATCCTCATGAATATTTCCTATTATATAAATATTTTATAGACAAAAACGTTTATGAATTTGTGCGTACACAAAATATATCAGTTTATTATTAATCATTAAATAGCTAGATTATACATATAATTTTTAATGACATGAAAATTTAATATTTCAGAACTGACCGAAAGCTTGATAGCCTCTCAAGCATTCGTGTTTTTCCTGGCCGGTTTTGAAACTTCGTCAACGACCATAAGCCATGCACTCTATGAATTGGCATTAAATCAAGATGTACAAGAGAAATTACGTAAGGAAATTGACGAAGAGTACACTAAGAATGGTAACAATTTAATATACGAGAATGTAAAGAAGATGAATTACTTGGACAAAGTTTTTAACGGTACGATATTCGAAGAAAAAAATTAATATAAAAGAAAAATATATGCTGTTTATTTTCAGCATTATTAGTATATCAAGTTTTGTTGTTGGTAAATTAATTTTTAATATATGAATTTAAATTAATATATTAATTTTTGAAATATATGAATAACTTATATTTCACAAGTAACTCTTGAAATAATTATATCTTATATTGTCGTTAATATGCAGAGACATTACGAAAATATCCACCAGTGACAATTTTTATGAGAAAATCAATGTCAAGTTATACTTTCGAGAATACCATAGTCAATATACCAAAAGATCAGAAGATATGGATTCCGATTTTTGCGATTCATCGGGATCCAAATATTTATCCAAAGCCAGATATATTTGATCCAGAAAGGTTTGCTGAAGAAGCAGTGCAAACTAGACATCCGATGCATTTTCTACCTTTTGGTGATGGACCAAGAAATTGCATCGGTAAGTGAAATGTGTAGATATATTTTCTTCAAAATTCTGTTCGTTTTGCTTTTAAAGAAAAAAATATTTAAAATAAAAAACTTGTCTTGTAATAATTGTATAATTTTTTTCAGGTTCCCGTTTTGCTATTTATCAGACCAAGATTGGTCTTATAAAAATTCTACGAAATTTTAAAGTCGAAACTTGTGATAAAACGCAAATACCCTACGTAACTGATCCTAGAGCGTTTCTATTAGCTCCGAATGGTGGAATACATTTGAAAATAATTAAAATCAATCGAACTTAAATTTGATCATTTCTCTTAAAAAGCATGTGTAAAAAAATTAATTTAATTATTTTAAATTTACGTTTTTATACGCTCGACATACAATATATAAACTGTTTAACTTTAAATTATTTCACGATTATAACAATGACCAAAAATAAAATATAATTATATTTAGCTAAAAAATAGTCTATGCTAATTAATAAATAAGTTTAATTATTAATTAATTGATATCATTTTTAACTTTATTATTTAGTTTTATAAATTTATTTTTAACATAATCCGCAAATTTCTTTCTCTTTATTAGCAGCGATTTTGATCAAATACATATTTTACACTTTATCTTTAAACTGTTGTATATATTGTTAAACGTGGCAACGCAATATCGAATGTTAATACTCTCTACATTAATAAATATAAATAATGGATATAATATAATCCACATGAATATCATACTCTTCACATATAAATAATTCTGAAAAAATGTATCAAAATTTTTATTTGAAGTTATTTTTTTTTTAAAGTTGATCTACATATACAAAATAATATCCATAATTTAGTTACGATAATGTAAAAAGTTAATTGTTAATTCAATATATCTAATAGAATGTATTTTATATATTCTATCTTACAATCACAAATAGTTATTATAAATAGATATTATAAATTCCCAGATAGCCACAGTAATTATTATGACATCATTTTGATCATTTTATAATTATCGAAAAACGATAATTACCTTATGAGTTAATTTTATTAACAAATTGCGTTGCAGTGTTTATACGTATCGGCATATAGTGCATGTAATGTACAGTATGACTAAAAACAGGTTATCTAATCAATTAATTCTTCTCGATATTATTTTTTGCAAAGTCATGTATTTGAACATTTGGAGCTGCAGATGAATCTCTTAGATATATTTTGCGCAATTCATCGTGACTCAAGTTGCTCGGACATCTAATATGGTAGTGCATATGCTTTATAATTTGATCCAACTTGGACCACGACGTATTACTTCCAGACACATCGTTGCAAGCTGATCGACTAGGATAGCTGCGTATGTGTGAGTTGCTGCAATTATCAATTACTATTGCATTCAAGTACGTCACATATTTGTCGTTTATTCGAATGCGGTTCGTAAGGCTTGTGAAACGCGTAAAACATTCATATCGTATATATCGCGTATATAAATAATTATAACATTTTCAAAGATAAATTTTTCTTTGTTTTCTTTTTGAAAGAAATAATGTACTTGTATTTCCTCCTTGAAGAGAGGAGACTGTCCTCAATTCTCGTATATCTCACGGTCCTCAGTTTCACAGTCAAGTGCGATCACATGCGGATAAAAAAAACGTGATTGGTCGAGAGGAATTTTATCGTAAAGAGTGATTCAACACTTTTCCATTCGTTCATGTATATACATACACAAACATGTCATAAACAACATCATATCATCTTGCTGTATTTGTAGTTCCGAGGTGTTGCTGGTGAACGTCACATCTGATTTTATTATGTCGCGTTAACTAGAATTTATAATAGTACGCATCAAGTTTTTGTTCTTAACGCATAATCTTGAAACAAATCATTTAATTCCAAACTATACAGTGAGTGTTATTTGTTATATGTTAATAATCTGTGTATATACTTATTAATAATCTTTGCAAACTTCTCTCTGCAAATCTATCAACTTCTGCCGTATACTTTATCGCCTACTTTATCTCCACTTTATTATTAATAAATACACAACTCAAGAGCTTTCTTCCATCTTCGTGATATACTGTATTAAGATGAAGGAATGATTTCTTGTTCGTTTGATTTTAATGTCTTGCAAGATTTATCTAGGTAGCTTCAATGGTAAATTTGATTCAAATGCGTATGAAAATATTTTCTTTAATTAAATTGTAATCGGGTATATAGAAACAAGTAATCATGCACGAGAGAAATGGTAAGATTGTACATTCATAAACATCATAAAATTTTATTTCATGACTGGTTGCTAAATTACATTGATAAGATCCAAAAGAAAGATAATTTGCGCGATATGAATAAGATGTGTGTCATTTTATATCTCAGTAATCTGTAAACATTTGTTTAGTATTCTTTCTGAAAGAAAGTTTTTATATTTCGATCAGTATTTCAATTTCGACTATATGCATGTACATATATAAATGTAAGGAATCTATCGATCTGTCAGATATCAATAAAATCTGCCTAAATTTAAATATCATAAATGTATATTTCGTCAAATATATATTTTTATCAAACTTTTTTATTAAATTTTTAACTTCTTAGAACACACTATTTTTAAATTTGTTTTATTCATTTTTCAGCAAACATTGCTCGAGATAATTGATCAACAGCTGCAAGATATAATGGGGCCTTTTGAAATATTGTGCGGCATTGCTGCAATATGTCTCGCTATGTATTATTATTTGACATCGACCTATGACTTTTGGAAATCACGTGGCATTCGCGGTCCACAACCGATACCGGGTTTCGGTAATTTTAAAGATGTCATGCTTAATACAAAATTCCTTGGTGACTACTTGAAGGATATGTATAACGAGTACAAAGATGAATCCATGTTTGGAATATTCGCTAGAAAAACACCAATTCTTATTGTAAAAGATCCTGAGTTAATTAAGGATATTCTCATCAAAGATTTTTCTAAATTCGCCGACAGAGGATTTCCTGTTAGCGAAAAAGTATGTGTAAAAATGTTTTAAACTTATAATATTTGAATTATATAAGTGCAATTCGATAACTTTGATATTTTTCTTTCCCATAATCGGAATTATTGAAAATCGTAACATTAGTTATAAAATAAGTTTTTTTATTTAATTACGTGTAATCTAAAAATGTTCTTCAATCACGAAAACTTATTCGATTGTAATTGTTTTTATTATATTTCAGGCTGATCCATTGTCGCAACATCTTTTCGCTTTGGAGCCTAAAAGATGGCGACCTTTAAGAACACGATTGTCGCCCGTTTTTACATCCGGTAAATTAAAAGAGATGTTCTCTTTAATGTCGGAATGCGCCGATCATCTTGAACAATATATAGATAAAATAGTGAAAAAGAACGAGCCGATAGAATGTCGCGAATTGACCGCCAAATACACGACCGATGTAATTGGTAATTGCGTTTTTGGCATTGAAATGAACGCTTTATCAGACGAAGAAAGCGAATTTCGCAGGATGGGAAGATTAGCTTTCACACCAACGTGGAGGAATATGCTACGAATAAGACTAAGACAACTCATGCCACGGTTCTACGAGTTGTTAAGTTATATCATACCACAATCAGAAGTCACCAAATTTTTCATACGCGTTGTTGTAGATACCATGAACTATAGAGAAACGAATAATGTTATTAGGCACGATTTCATTGATCTACTTCGTGAATTAAAAAAACATCCAGAGAAAGTGGGAGATATCAGTAAGTGACAATCATCTTTATGAATATTTTCTAGTTTACAAATGTTTTTAGTTGGACATGTTAAGAATTTGTGCGTAAAAACATAGTTTACTATTAATTATTAAGTAGCTAGATTATTCATATTTTTAATATTTGATAAGAAACAAAATAAAATCGTTAAAGGAAAATACTTCACTTTTCAGAAATGACCGAAAGCTTAATAGCTTCTCAAGCATTCGTATTTTTCCTGGCCGGCTTTGAAACTTCATCAACGACCATAAGTCATGCACTCTATGAATTGGCAATAAATCAAAATATACAAGACAAGTTACGTGAGGAAATTGACGAAGAGTACACTAAGAATGGTAGCAATTTAATATACGAAAACGTAAAGAAGATGAATTATTTGGACAAAGTTTTCAAAGGTACGATATTCAAAGCAAATGTTAATAAAAAAAGGTTTACTATTGTTCTTCAGCGCCATTAAAATATCAATAGTTATATTGCTATTAAATTAATTTTTAATATATATACATGCATTTATTTCAAAATAATTTATACTTTATACTGAATATTTATAAATAACTCTTCACAAATACATCTCTCTTTCACTATTCTTAATATATGTAGAGACTTTGCGAAAATATCCGCCAGCAACAGTTCTTATGAGACAAACGACAACAAGTTACACTTTTGAGGATACCACAGTTAATATACCGAAAGACCAAAAGGTATGGATTCCGATTTTCGCGATTCAACGGGATCCGAATATTTATCCGAAGCCAGATATATTTGATCCAGAAAGATTTACTGAAGAAGCAGAACGAACCAGGCATCCGATGCATTTTCTACCTTTTGGTGATGGACCAAGAAATTGCATCGGTAAGTGAAATGTGAAGATTTATTTTCTTCAAAATTCTGTTCGTTTTGCTTTAAAAAAAATTATTTTAATTGAAAAAGTTTTTTGTAATAATTGTATAATAATTTCTTTTCAGGTTCCCGCTTTGCTATTTATCAGACCAAGATTGGTCTTATAAAAATACTACGAAATTTTAAAGTCGAAACTTGTGATAAAACACAAATACCCTACGTGATTGATCCTAAAGCGTTTCTATTAGCTCCAAAGGATGGAATATATTTGAAAATAATTAAAGTTAATCGAACTTAATTTAAATTTTGTCACTTCTTTCAAAAATCATATGTAACAATGTAATTATTTTAAATTTACGTTATTACGTTTGTAAAATACATATATTGTATAAATTGTTTAATTTTAAGTTGGAATCATATCATTATTATAATGATATTATAATGATGATCAAATATAAAATGTAATTACATTTAACTAATTATATTTAGCTAAAAAATATAAAGTTTATTGTTATTGAAAATTATTGATAATTATATTTAAAATTTTGACAAAACTTTACGAAGAAAGTAAAAAAATAGAATAGAATCGAATAGTGAAAATACAAACAAATAGTAAAATAGCATGTGATTAAAAAATATATGTGACTAAAAATGTAATATATTTTTTCTGCAAAGAGCGTATAAAAATGGAAAGAATATACAATATGTGTTTTCTACATATATCTTGCCTATATAAGACAAAATTAGTTGTATCCAATGTCCAAAATATGCAACAGAGATTGTTCAACATATTATCTAATAAAAATTATAAATTATAAATTTATAAATTTGTTAAATTTACAATGTAAATAAAATAATTACTAATACAAATATATTTTTTAGATTGATAAATTCAAATGATGAGAGAATATTATATAATCAGATAAATGTTGTATACAAATTGTTAAAAAATTTATAATTTTTAATAAAATACATTTATATATTTTCATATTTTTATCTTATAAAATTGCTAATCTATATCTTATTATTTACATAATGCTATCGCATAATAACATAGTCATTTTCTTTTGAGTGTTTTGTGTCATCGGATTCAAATATATTAAAGCCTCTTAATTGAGGTGACATTGGAACATAATTATTGTCTGTAAGAGTAATCTTTTGGATACGTTCTTCAACATTGGAATTTTTTGAATAAGAATATTGTCCAACACTGATCCTGTTGTAAAAGAGAGAGAAACATAATCTTAAATTGTTTTAAAATCAATCTTACTTTATCGCCTTTCTCACAAGAAAAGCACCAAAAAAAATTTTGAACCTAAAATTTACAATCATACCTGTCTTCCTCTACATATGATTGTTGTCCCTGTCTCGGTGGTAATGCTGGAGGTTCCATTTGCAAATTGCATGAACTTTTATCTGTTTCCTTGTACATATTTGAAGTAGATGTTCTTTGTTTTAAAGAATATTTATTATCTGTAATTTCTTCATAAATTCCAGAAGTATTTGATATTCTATTATAGGAATCACCTTCGTCATTGTAGATTAGATTAGGTTCTAATTCATATATGTTCTCTTTGATATTTGTACAAGTTAATGACCTTAAACTATATTTTTCATATTATTTTCGAAATAATTGTTTACTATTACAAGTATAGTACTGTTATTTTTTTATATATATTAATACATACCAATTAGTTTCTGTGCTAAGAACAGGAAGTGATGTATTCTTTTGTAAATGTGAAAGAGAATTATTAATATTATAATGCTGCTTCACTGTTTCAAGATTTTCTTCATTAAAATTCAAAGATTTTTGTTTTGGACCACGACCCTGTGTCACTAAATCTTGTAATAATTTAATAGCATCAAGACAAAATATGTAAAGTTCTCCAACACCACAACGAAACTCTTTAGTGGTATGTACTACACAAATGCGCTTTACATCTTCTGGACGGCCTGCTGTCATTAAGTGAAATTGACTAAATTCTTTCCATTCAAAGGACTCAATTATTTCACCAGTACAAACATCTTTAATAAGAATTTCTGTATCGTTGGCAATCAAATCTCCGTATAAACCTTTTATAAATTAAATAAAAAATTAAATCAATATAAACTTTATAATCGACAGAGAAAGCAGTTGTAAGTATACTAAAAATTTTACTTACCAGTTAAACCTGATGCTTTGGAGTGTGCATTATCAACTATGGACACGCTATAAGACTTCTCTATACAGTGATGTCTTCTAGGCTTCAACAAGTGTCTAATATTTGCCATCCAATGCTGCGTTTCAGTTTCTGAATTAGTGGACAACAGTAAGGACTTTTTATCTGTCGCTAATGATACAGCGAACGCATATTGCTTCGTTTTAGAACGAATACGATGTATAATCGCATTCGAGGGAATTATAATGCAATTTCCCTTTTCACTTTGTTTCGCAAAGTCGCTGAATCTAGTGTCAAACTGTATTTGCACGAGGCCGGATTTTAATTTCTTTACGGAGCACCACAATCGTTTCCAAACCTTTGACATCATCAAAGTCTTCTTCCTCACTCTCTGCGCGATGTATCTATTTCCCATCGATTTCACATATAGAAATCCGCAAATTTCCATCTTACATGTATCCATTTTCTACGAATAAATGTCGAAAAATAAGAAGATAACTCTTTGCGACGAGAACGCGCAAATATCTCACTTTTTAGATAATTTTAATGTATATTATGAATGTAAATAATTGTTCTGAGATATATCGAGAAAAAATCAAACAAACAAAAAGAGGGAACACTACGCCATATTGTTGATTTAAAAAGCACGTTCACATTTTTTGAAGTGCGTTCGAAAATCTTACCTTAGGGTAAAGCATGTTTAATTGACCAATCAGGAGAAAGGAATCTATTCATCCCTTTGTTCCGATTAAGTGCTTTATCTGAGTTCATCTATGTTATTCTATGTTTTTTATATACAACACAGCTGTTCGTAGAATCACATTTATATCCAAAAAATGCAGCAGAGTATTCAAAATATTGTTTGATAAAAATTGTTTATATTTTTTTTACAAATAAAAATGCGTAAAGTTATGTCAAGTTTATTTTACACCAAGATTATTGTTCCTACAATTCAGAACAAAATTTTCAAGCAACAAAGGTTATTTTATTTTATATGAGATTATTTTTTATTGTAAAAAAGAGAGGTAACGATGTATGTTTGATTATTTTTATTTTTTGTTTTAGAAGGTGGATTTATTTATCGAGCAGGTATTTCTCTGTTAAAGAGACAACTGATGTAGAATATGATGTGCCAGTTGAAACTATCCGTAACTTCAGTATTGTTGCACATGTTGATCATGGTAAAAGCACACTCGCAGATAGGCTACTGGAATTAACTGGGGCTATAAAGGCAAACTCTGGCAAACAAGTTTTGGACAATTTGCAAGTAGAGAAGGAACGTGGAATTACTGTAAAAGCACAGACAGCTTCATTGTTTTATTCATATCGAGGGAGAAATTATCTTTTAAATCTCATCGATACACCAGGTCATGTGGACTTCTCTGCAGAAGTCTATCGCTCACTGGCTCCTTGTCAAGGAGTCATACTATTAGTCGATGCAAATGATGGTGTTCAAGCGCAAACAGTCGCTAATTATTACTTGGCGCGAGAGAAAAATCTCGTAATTATACCAGTAATCAATAAGGTGGATCTGAAAAATGCCAATCCCGAAAGAGTGAGAGATCAGTTGCAGACATTATTTGATGCAGAAGATATCGATGTTATCAAAATATCTGCTAAATTAGGCACTGGAATTGATAAAGTTCTAGATGCTGTAGTTGAAAGAATTCCACCACCCACAGTATGCAGGCACGAACCCTTTAGAGCATTAATATTTGACAGTTGGTACGACAAACATAAAGGTGCTATTTCTTTAATTTATGTGAAAGATGGAGCACTATCAGTTGGCAAACACATCAGCTCCGCACATTTACAAAAATCGTACGAAGTTCGAAGTATTTTTTTTCTTAGACCTCATGCAGAGAATGTGAAAACAATGTGAGTGAGTACAATTTACATTTTTTAACATTGCAATTATATCTTTTATGTATGCAATATACAATTATTAATTTAATATATAATACAATATATAATATTTTGCATATATAATTTGTATGCAATTTAATCTGTCTAGATTTGCTGGGCAAGTAGGCGCTATTTCATGCAATATGAAGTCTAAAGAGGCTTGCATTGGTGACACTTTGCATCTACGGCATCAACCTGTTGATTCTTTAGAAGGATTTAAGCCACCAAAGCCAATGGTATTCGCAGGTGTATATCCAATGGATCAGTCACAATTTACCTCTTTACAAACAGCTATTGCTAAACTTACATTAAACGATAGTGCTGTGACTGTCACTTTAGAATCAAGGTATAAGTTTTATAACACAAATTTAGAATGCTTTCTTTATGTTATTTAAAATGATATAAAGTTTATTTTTTTAATAATTATGAATTAGTTAATTAGCTATAATGATTAAATATAATGTTCAATTGGATTGATAATAACTTTATCAATAATATAATATAAAAATATTACATGTTGCAGCGTTGCACTTGGAAGGGGATGGCGAATTGGCTTTCTAGGTTTATTACATATGGAAGTTTTTATTCAACGTCTTGAACAGGAATATGAGGCACAGCCGATAGTTACAGCACCCTCAGTCACATACAAGGCAAAGATTTTTGGCAGTAAAAATATAACAAAATATCAAAATGACATCGTAATTTTTAACAATCCAGCGCATTTCCCGGACATGCAAATTGTTAGCGAATTATACGAACCTATGATTATAGCAACTGTTATAACACCAGGTATGTATTTTTCACTTAAAATACTAAAATTTATTTCTGCTTAAAGCAGAATTCAAAGATTATAAAAAAGAGAAACTAATTCAATTTTACATTACATCAAAGATTTCAAGATAGCATTTTAATTTCAATTTTTATTATTCTATTTTTATTATCTATAGAGTAATCAGTACTTTGTAACATGTATAGTTAAATATATGAGTGATATTACGTCACTTTGCCGAGAAAAGCGAGGCGTAGAAAAATTAAACAAGACTATTGGCAATGACAGACTTATGTTGCAATATATAATGCCATTGAACGAAGTAATCCTGGACTTTCATGATTCTTTAAAGAGAATAAGTTCTGGTTATGCTAGTTTTGATTATGAGGATCATGATTATCAAGTGTCAGATATTGTGAAGGTATTTAAATATTCTGTGCTTTAGCCTTGCTTACATTGTATTTTTTCTTAATTATACAAATTAAAGATGCATTTTTACTAATTTTAGTTAGATATTCTCTTGAATGGAAAAATGGTGGAAGAATTAAGTACAATTGTACATCAAACGAAAGCGATACAAACAGGCAAGAAATTGTGCACTAAGCTTGTCGAAACCATTCCTCGACAGCTTTTTGAAATAGCAATTCAAGCAGCAATAAGAAGTAAAATAATTGCAAGAGAAACTGTAAAAGCATATAAAAAAGATGTAACAGCAAAATTAGTAAGCAAATATGTATATCGATATACATAAATAATCAGTAAAACTTTTAAGAATAGTATTAACTTTGTATTTTTCTTTTTTTAGTATGGAGGTGATGTTACTAGAAGAAAAAAATTGTTGGCACAACAATCGGAAGGAAAGAAGAAAATGAGAATGATAGGAAAAATTTCTTTACCACGGGATACATATATAAGTGTACTGAAAAAGTGATTTTTCACATGATGTGTAAATAAACATTGTAAGAGATTTTGCATTTACTACTTATCATTTAATCCGTCATGACGTGATCATAAGTATAATTTAGATTTAAAAAGAAGCTAAATACTTTTTTGCGAAAAACTAAACATACAAATCTTGTGAACACCGCTTCATCTATACATTCATTTCGCAAACTAAAAAATCTAAATCTTGCCACGATAATTAGTATTGTACGAGAAATTCTTTAATTAAAGCAGTATTGTGCGGTAAACCTTGCACATACATATCTTTCCACGAGTTTCTGTTTCCATTTCTTTATCGAAATTTAAATGCGCAATTATTTTCTTGTACTTTTCTTGTAATTATTTAATGAAACTCGGAGAAGAAAAAGATATTGGTGCATAAAAGTCATATATATACAAAAATGCATATAAATATTATATATTGTTATATTTAGAAAATTAGTTGAATTGAAAGTGCTGTCCAAAAAAAATTCAATATTCTTGAAAAATTGTCAAATTTAATAGAAAAAAAAATATATATATATATATATATATATATATATAGGTATATCTTCGCATAATTAATGCAAATGATGGCAAATCATCATGAGGAGGGAAAGTGTGTTTACAACATGGCGTAGCCAATCAGTTTTCTTGGATTTTTGTTCGTTTAAAGCCTCTTGCACAATGCCAAATATTTAGGATGGAGAATTCACTCTAGATCAGTTTTCTTATTTCATGGTTATTCACTCCATTTCGTACCGTAGTGAATGCAACGTTACAATTGTAATGTGTGTCCGACAATTTATTTTCTTATACTATTTATTGCTAAAGTAAACGTTCATGCTGATGTATCGTGTCATTTACGAACGCGTTTAATTCAATTTCATTATTACGAATAAATATGCTACAAAGTATTATTATCAGATACATTATAACCATGTGCTCAAGTTATAAAATCACGGCAGAAAATAAATTGCTTTTGCCCATTCTGTAAAATTGACAAAACAACACAATTATCAACGTCATTGGCGTCGTTAAAAGAATAAGAATATAAGTCATCTAGAAGAGAGAGACCTGCTGATCATAATTAAACTAATTGGTTAGTATAATAAGTAATTTAAATTACAATTCACTTATAGTTTACAATTGATAGTTTCAAATAAAAGCGATATTACATTATTCCATACTATAGTAAGCATATATAAAAAGAAATGTGTGATTTTAAGTATATATTTATATATAAAATTATTGTAATATTTATTATAAGCCTGCATTATAGCATAAGAAAAAGTAGTAAATTTTGTGAAAATATAAAGAATATATAGCTAATATAATTAATATATCAATATAGTTTGTGATACATATATAAAGAAGAGATATTACATATGAACAAGAAGAGAGATTACATATGATTTTTTATTTATAGAATACGCATATATATTGGATTAAAATAGTATTTTTTATCAAAGACAACATCAAAATGGCGCCAGTACCTTTAGAAGGTCATCAAACTCCTGTTACAAATAATATACCACAAGAGGGTAATCGCGGAGGATCCATCTCCTTAGCCATGCTCATAGATTTTATAATACAACGAACATATCATGAACTCACTGTTCTTGCGGAACTGTAAGTATAAGATGTCAAGATATTAATAGACATACTTTAATATTTTGTGATACAGTTTATTTTAGAGTGTGTATGTTTTTTGTGTATTTAGATTACCTCGTAAAACAGATATGGAACGCAAAATTGAAATTTATAATTTTTCTGCTCGAACAAGACAATTGTATGTTCGTTTATTGGCATTGGTAAAATGGGCAAATAGTGCATCTAAAGTGGATAAGTCTACAGTAAGATATACATTTTCATATATTTTATTAATTAAATAATTAAAATATATTATTTAATGATTCATGTCCTATTTTGTTATAGCATATTATGGCATTTTTGGATAAACAATCATTGCTCTTTGTCGATACTGCGGATATGTTAGCAAGAATGGCTCGTGAAACTTTGGTACATGCTAGACTTCCAAATTTTCATATCCCTGCAGCTGTAGAAGTACTTACGACTGGCACATATGGCAGATTACCAGCTTGCATTAGAGTAAGTATGTAGCATAAAAAGAAGTATTAATTATACAAGAAATTAATGAAAATATCATGTTTGAACAGGAAAGAATAGTGCCTCCAGATCCTATTACAGCTGCAGAGAAAAGAAGCACATTACAAAGGTTGAATCAAGTCATTCAACATAGATTAGTTACTGGAAATTTATTGCCACAAATGCGTAATTTAAAGGTAAATATGTACAAATAATAATAAAGATATAAGTAAATTATGCTAAAAATCGCACTGATATACCTATAATATACATTTCTTCATAAAAAAATATATATTACATATATGATTTTTTGTTTTAATAATCCACATGATTTAATTCGATTTATTGTTAATATATAGATTGAAGCAGGAAGAGTGACGTTTCTCGTAGAGCAAGAATTTTCAGTGTCTCTTACAGTTATGAGTGATGGGCCAACAGTTCCATGGAGATTATTAGAATTAGAGATTTTGGTTTCGGATAGGGAAACTGGAGATGGAAAGGCATTGGTACATCCCATGCAAACTCGATACGTACATCAGGTATATATATAATACAGTAATATATATAAAATAAATTTAGATATTATATATATATATATATATATATATATTTAGATACCATTTAACAAACAAAATTTTTTTTACAACAGGTTATACAATCACGATTGGCTGAAAGTACCAATCCATTGTCAGAAGTGTATTTTTTTTTGCATTACTTTTGTCAATCATTGCAATTAGAAGTTTTGTTTTCTCAAACATTAAGACTCATTCAGGATAGATTAGATGATCATATTCATGTAGATGAATATGCACCTGGCAAATGCCTCTCTGTATCTTATTGGAGGTAATAATAATTGTATAATATGCTTATATAACATGTGTTAAGAAAAAAATAATGCAATAAAAAGAGAATTGTACATGCAGATATACATAAGACTTTTATATCATACATCTTTTTAGGGAATTAACGAGTAAGGATCCACGATCAGAACTTGGATATAAATTGACCATTCAAGTAGATCAACATGATCCTGCAAGACCTCTTGCAGTTGTACACATTCCGTCATTGGGAAATAAGGTAAAGTAACATACTTATATTTTTCATGTTTTCAGTGTTTATAATAAGACAATATATTATGGTAATATTACACAGGAAAGTGAAATAGCACATAGAGCAATTAGATCGGATCAGTTATCAATGGAATGTTTACTCGTGCACACAATTTATATTCGGACGCGAAGTCGTCTATCCGAATTGAAACAAGAGTTACAAACGATGCTGAAGGACGTTGAATGTAAGTTGAGGATTTTTTGCTATATATCTTCCTTTTACGAATCTTCTACATTATATTCAAATTAAATAAAAAGATACATATTTATATAATGTACACATTTGCAGGTACCTTAGCAGGATCTCCAGCTATTTTATCAGTACCTATATTACAACCATGTTTACGTGCTGAGCTTCTATTAGTTACAGTTGACACTCATACTGGTATGCTACAGTGTCATGTTCCTCAATACGATGCACCTCTTGTACCAGAGTTAACAGCGGCTCTGAATGGGGATCATTCGCGTCTTCCGACACTTATATCTGAATTGAGGTACAAATATTACTGCAATATTCTTTATAAGTTTTCTTTTGCATTTTTCTAAAATAAAATTAATTGATTAATAAATTATTTTATGTCAGATTTTGGATAACACAAAGACGTTGCGAGAAAACATTGCAGCATTTAGCCGCTACTTCTCATGAACGTTTGCCTGTATTACATCATCCAGATCATCCTATGTCTAAGATTAGTAGACATCGCATGTTTGTGCAACTGCATAAGCATCCTACAGTTATACTGGTATGTAAATTCAAATTTTCCAGACTTTAATATAATCACATTTAAAAGATATTTTAACATTTAAAAATACATTACATTAGTATTACGTACAAAATTGTACATATATGTATATTCTGCAATATTGTTTATTTTAGATTGTTGCATTCAAAGAAAAAGAAAACTCGCCGTGTGAAATAGAATGTTCCTTCTATCTCGCTGTAGTGAAGCATAGTTCTATTGAAGATGATCCGCACGATGATAGCATAGAAACGGAAATACCAAAAATGTATCTAAAAGTTCAGAGTCTTATTGAGTTTGACACTTTCGTCATTACACACGGCCCATTTACAAGTGTGGACAGTGGTGAGTATATTCACATATGTGTTGTGCGTAATATATATATATATATTGTATATAAATTCTTTTTTAACTTTTATTTTTTATTTTCAAAATTTGTATGTTTAAATAAATTAATTTTTTTCTAATTGTTGACAATATTAGATAATAATAAATAATATTGTTTTTCGTTATTAAATCATATATAGATAAATAAAATTATATGGATATGCATGTGTATTTCTATGTGGATTTAGTTTATTTGTTATCATATACTATTAAGATATATAGATGCGCAAGTATTTGCAGGTAAAAATAAAAAGTATATATATTAGTATATAGTTTTAGTTATAGTGTGTATACTATGGTTTTGTATTTCGTAAAAACATTTTACTTTCTCTCTCTCTTTATTAATAATTTCCAGGAACTTTTGATCTATTCTATCTACTGGTGTTATGTGATATATAAGTATATATTGTATATGTATTATATATGCTACAAGTCAGGCTTATTCAAGTTTATTCACTAACAACAAATTCATTATGGGCCAGTTGTTCCAATTCTTGGTAAGTTTTATCCAACAAGTAGTATATCTTTGTCTCTTTTTTAGAACTTATCTGAAAAGAGACGAAAATATGCTACCTGTCAGATAAAACTTACTGAAAAGTTGGAAAAATTGGCTCTATTTCTATCTGCAAATAATCATGCTGTAATCATTCTTAATGATACCACAATTCTAGACACACATACTTATACCTTAACTAATCTTTTATTTCTTCTCTGATTCGACAAAACTGAAAAAGAAGAAGAAACATTTTATTTGTGAATTAAAGCTTAAACAGGCCTGATGTAAATGTATAAAACAGCCGTTTTTATAATTAACTATCAAATCAATATATAATTAATATAATGATATATACGTTTAATTGTACATTTTCTCTTGTATTAAGTACATATAATTTATCTTGTCTTGGAAATGCTTAAGAGCTTTTTCACTAATCTTTACTAACATTTGATTGCTCGGTCATTAATATGCCTTATAGTGTATATGGATAATAATTAACATCTGGCAACATTCAGTGTGGTATACTACTGCTACTTTTAGGGGGATTAACGGGTGGATTTTTTAGGGAATAATGATCAAGATGGGGGGTGCATTACAGAAGTGGTGGAGACGACGACGAGCAACAAACGTAGAAGCACTGGGGTTGGAGGAAGGACAGACGCGGTGGGAACATCACAGAATAGAAGAGCAAAACATCCGGCTTACTTCATTCCGGAATTAGCACATGTTGTCGCTCTGTGCGACGAGCGGATACCATTTGTAACTCTAGCTCAAGAAGTAAGATCTAAATTTCTCATTCATTTTTATATCACATCTTGTCTCTTATTAAAGCTCCTGGGTCCTCGCCTTTCTCACCTTTGATGTCACAATTCCAAAATGATTGACCAGGGCCCAGAAGCCTTAAAGAAAGGAGATTTCCTTTCTGTAAGGAACGTCTTGTATAACAATAATTAATCTTTTTGTGATACTATAAATAATCTTTATTTATAATAATTTGCAGCTTACTAGACGAGAGATAGCTCATCAAGGGCTACAGGTTGAAGCGAATGCCACGGCATTGGTACTGAAACTTGTTCAATTACCTGCACCATCACCAACTATTGCTACAAGTAGTGCCTGGCACGCTCTTCTCAAAAGACTGTTGAGTGTTTCGATTAGAGTTCAAGGAAAAGGCATGGCTAAAACTTGGATGGTGGAATTTGTATTCTTTGGTAGTCCCCTCTCTAGTAGTCACCCCAAGGAACAAGGTATTAATTTTTTTAAATCAAGTATCTGTTCATTATTAATATTTAGATATCTCTCATAATTTTACATACTTTTCCACTTTGTATTTTCAGTTATTATTATACATTTTCATATTTTTTATAAATAGTTTTTTCATATTTTTTATAAATATTTTTTTTCTCGTTAATTATGAACAGTTTGCACATATATTATATAATTAATTCCCCTACTTTCACTTTTGAATAAAATTTGACTTTTTATTGTAGATGAATTCATAAAATAACACATTGTAATTTATAAATGATATAATTTTCTTATTGTAATAAAAGTTGTAGAGCACAAATATATTTTTTTAATCTTGCAGGTGTACGAAGACCAGTCTATTTTCAATATGAAATGGGAACAGCTGATACTGTTTCTCGCACTGTAGATGCCTTATTAAATGACTGGGCACAAATAGTGCATTTGTATTCACTTGTTCATGATTTAGCTGAATATTTCAAAATGGGTATGTTATATATATATGTTCCAATTTTATAAAATATTACATATTAATTATGTTTTCATAATTTAACGCTGTTTACTTTAGAGAAGTACAATTTACGCAACATGGTTAGCATTAAGTCTTATAGTTATAGCAAGCTAGTTCTTGCATATGGTCCAAATCATGCTGCAATTGTAACTGTACAGTGGAATGATAAAGCAAACTTCAAACTTGTATTTGGCAGAAGTAAGTTCTTTTACATTGATTTTAGTTTATAGATAAGCATCACATTTTTATCACTAACAATGTAATAATAATAATTTCTGTTAATGTAATGTAATAATATGTTAAATGTAATGTAATAATTTCATTTGTATTATTAGGTCCAACCAATACAGTGACCAATGCGCATTCTATAATGAAGGAACAGCTAGAAGCCCACTTAAATAGGCACAAGAATTTGGCACAAATTATTCATATACTTAACGAAACGCTTCAACCGCTTACGTCGATCAGTAAATTACCGACAATACCTCAGTTATGCGTGCATGCGGTAAGTGCACGCGCATATCTGTCTCTTTTCGGTTCAGACTTACGGATAAATTCCTCTCTACAGAGACCACGAGTGCCAGTACAAACGTTTACTATAATGCCACAATGTGTCACTTTAGTAAAGATAGCATATCAAGGAATGTATTGCTTGGAATTACGTTTGCGCGGCGGAGGTTTGGTGAGTTTACGTGATGGTGCTTATAGTCATTTCGACAAAAGTAACGTCGTCGACGAGTTCACGCCCACACAGGGCTTAAAGGTAAAAACGATAAAAACGTTTCCCCTTTATAATAAAGCAAAACGATATAGCTAACGTATTCGTGTCTTGTTGTAGGCATTTCTGTCGAAATATGTCGACGAGAATGCGGTATATAGAAGAAGATCTCAATCGGAGGACGATAATCCACCGTCCCCCGTCACTATGGATAGCGATGGTGGTGGAGGTAATGTAGGAGGTTTCTTAGGACATCATAGAAGCGGGCCGCAATCGCCCGCGCAACAACGTGAGGGTTTAAGATTTCATCCGCCGCTCACACCACCATCCGGCAGTAATCCTCACACACCAGCCAGTCCTCACACCGCAAATATATCGCAGGTAGATTGCTTGACTAAGATAATATTTAAATTATTCGATTGTGATTATAGGTCTGTTTGTTTTAGCTCAACTGATTGCACTAGAGTTTATCTTTTCTTTCCAATGTCGAGTAAAAAATTCTGAACTGGTGCAGCCAGTTCAGCTAAAACAAACAGACCTCATGATACTTTTTTTTTTTTTAGGCCAGTCAACATCAAAGTTTCGGAAGCAGTCCTGCAACGTCGTTTAACTTGGCGTCCCCGCCATCGTTACCACCGAATACACCTAGCATGTTACCGCACCCGTCTCCTGGATCGGGACTCGTCGCGAACAGTCCTCTAAATCAGATGCACGTTCCTAGTCCAGCTGGTCTCATGCCAACGTCGTCGCCTGGACCTTGTAGTAATGTTCAAGTAGGACATTCTCCTGCTGGTTCATTTATGCAAACGGGTATGTTTTGACATATATTTTTCAATTCTTAATATTACCTTTGTGTTTTTAAAATTTCTATCATATTCTGTTCTCAAACTGCGAAAATGCTTACATTTTCATTGCATTACTTGGAAAAAAGAAGCAAATATAAGTAAGAAACAATGACATTTTCGCTTTCAGAAATTATAATTATTATTTTGCAAAAGCAGAGCATTAAGCCTAACGATGATAATTATATTTCCCAATGCTTTTTATTTTTACAAAATAATTTTAATAATAATGAAACGACATGCAGGTCATATCGATGGTAGTCCTTTCCCGTCTTCTCAAAGTATGGCTTCACCGGCTGCTTCCAATTGGCCTGGATCTCCGAGCGTACCTAGACCATCCCCTGCGAGACAAAGTCCGGGTCACGTGGCGCTACATAGCCCACAAGCCTCCGATCACAAGACTGTTAGTCACATGTCCAGAGTATTACCACCGAGGTCTTGGGCTGGTGCCGTACCGACGCTTCTCACGCACGAAGCGCTAGAATCACTTTGTTGCTCCTTGCCTCATCCGTCTGGCTTACCAGGTCCAGATATGTCGCCGCTCGAGAGATTTCTAGGTTGCGTCTACATGAGAAGACAACTGCAACGTTTTATCCAAACGGACGATTGCGTAAGAGAACTTGTATATAAATAGTAACACAATTCAAGATTTTGACAAGTCGAATTTTAGGTACCCATGTATATTTAATAATATATTTATTTCATATATATACTTGAAATTAGTAAATATTTACTAGTATTCTATACTATATATATTATTACTTAAATGTATAAATTGCAGGTAACTGGTATCAATAGCACCGAACCTGGCGTAGTACATTTTAAAGTCGAAAGCTTACAATGTAGAGTTGGATTAAATCCGCAATATTTCCAATCTCTTCATATTAAAGTACAACCACTTCCAGAATACAAAGATCAATGGAGTCTGGAAGAGTTACAAGTAAGTAATTAAAGCGCATATACTGCGTATTTGCACGATATTATTCATTAAAATAATTCCTCTTATTTGTAGATTATAGAAAAATTCTTTGATACACGAGTCGCCGCCCCACCTTATAAACACAATACACTATCTGGCTTCGGAAGGATGCTTAATGTACGTTTTAAGGTGTTGAAAGACTTTGTGCAAATAATGAAATTGGAGCTGGTTCCCGGTCTTGTACAGCAACAACAGTTGAAGTGGTCCGTACAATTGTGCTTGCGTATCCCACCTTCTACTGGACAGATTGTGCCTCCTGGATCAGAGGGAGTGCATGTTTGTAGGAGCAAAATTTTATTCTTCGTGAGTATATTTGTTGAAGCATTTAAAATTTCTTTAGATTTGATTACACGATTTTGCATATTTTGCAGTTGCAACTTACGAGAATAGGTATGACGTATCCGGGAGAAACGTCCTTCGTCCTACCATTTGTGTATGACGTCACCACGAATTTAACGCAACTGGCGGAAAGAAGAGATCTTAGTCCGGCGATTACAGCAGCCTCCATGCAGCTGAAGAGATTCGCCGAGTACGGCGCGAATCAGTCGGAATGTTCTCTGTTCCCTGCTGTAAGGGATCTTTTAGCTAATTTCACGTTGCCATCGGAACCGCCGGTTATATCACAGGTATAATACTTTGTTAAGTTAGAAACGAGATCTTAAGATTCTTTGTCCCTCGCTGCAACTGTATTAAATCATTAGAAATTATATAAATCTTTTTCTTACATATGTAGAGACAAATTACCATACTGTCATTTATAGTTGCAACGTGGGAGAAGCGATATTTCATATTGCTTTTTCTATTTTATTTATTAAAAACTACGTAAAGTAATGGAATATTTCCGATACTTGTAACAATTTGTTTTTTCGATAATGTAAGATACTGAAAATAAGTGTCATAACAAAGCACGAAATATTTTTACGGATCAAGACTCCTGGGTTCGTTTCTAATGTTATAATTCCAACATGGTCTGCGAGAAGTCAGGAATTTTGATGGAAAGCTACAAAGCTTGCTTTACAATATCTGTAACAGGTTGTGGCGTCTCCCGCGGGAAATCAAGTACCTCCTACACAGCAGATTCAGAACGCAGCGATGCAAATGCACTCGCCGATGACTGGCGGCCAAGGACCGCCGCAGGGACCATATGGAATCCAAAGTATGCCACCGATGGGCATGATGGGTGGACCGCCTCAATAGGATTTGCTTTACTCTCCTAATCCCCTTTGTCTGCCGAATCATCCGACATGGATGAATTAAGAATGTAAACGTTCTTTCAGAGGACGCACGCGTTTCCATCTTGAGCAGATTTACATTTTATGGGGAAGACTTTAGGAGAGAGAGATAGCTATGTATTTGCCACATTCAATTCGAGAAATGATATAGATAAATAAGTTAATGAAAACTACAAGAAAACTATCATGAAACCATTCTGTAAATGATAGTCTGATATCTCTGAAATCGCTGTTACAGATATTTTGTGTCTTACTATTGACTAATAGTCAACTACATACACTATTTTGACAAATATAAAACGCTAAAAAAATGTATAAATTGTATTATATGATAACTAAGGAGATTTTAATGGAGAATTACATTTTGTCAATGAAAATTTCTTTTTATTTACATTAATTGATATTCCAAGTTAAAAATTATCTGTACGCAAGTAGAGTACAAATCTATTATTGAGATAAGTATCTTCTTGTAACATATATAAACAGTCCGCTATATTAATATGAATGCGAAATAGTGAATTTACATTGTAGCAAATGAAAATTATTTGCGAAAATACAAATGTAAAAATGGTCATAAATATATGTTTGTTAGATGTTTGTCTAAAGATGTTTGACAAACCATATTATATGCTTCTTTAAGTATTTGTGTGTGTGTGTGTGTGTGTGTATGTATGCGTGTATGAACGTTCTACTTTTTAATGAATACGTTTAATATTATTTTACATGAATAAATGTGTAGAAATCTTAAATGTTTATACAAACGATATGAAATCAATTTCTCACATGTGTAATCTTATACTTGCTCTACTTGCTCGTCTGTTTGTTTTACAAAGACGTGATTTAACAAAGAATCTATTATGGAAGTTAAATTATCCCTACAATTGTTGCTGGAATGAATCGATAAAATAAAACAATTTGCACATTACATATTTTATCTGGGATTTATGAATAATATAAAATTTTTATTTTGGTTCTGCGTGTACAGCTCTTTTTTTACAAAAACATGTAATACTCTTAACAAAAATCAATCGTACTATATTCTTAATATATGCAATTGTACAGTACTCATACAGTTAATAATAATATATTGGAATACAACTGTATATCGATAATCGCATCTCAAATATATATACACTTTTAGGTCAGGTATCAGTCTCTGTATATAAAATTTGAATACATCTTGATACAACTATTTCGTGATAATCCTGAATTGCATCGAAACATAAATGAATATACCTACTAAAAATCTTAAACTTTGAACTTAAACTAAGCAATATCATGCATTCTTGGCCGTGTCTGTGTTGTTTTGTCATTTTTTTTTTAATCTTATCACTGTAACACCTCACATAATCTTTCAAAAATAACTCTGCAATATATAGCTCTTATTTGTATCTTTAATACCGAAAAGATACTTGTTTGTAATATAGATATTACTATATTAATTTATGTGAAACTATCATAGCATACAACTACAACACGCGCTTTATTCATTATTTTATCGCAACTCCAGAATAAACATTAATCTTGACTCGACTTCCACAAATTCTACACAAGTTTCTAAACTGGTGTCTTAGGCTCCATGTTTTTTTTCACATCGTTACTTTTTTTGTTGATTTTAAATAGCTTTTCTGAAATTTATACATTCATAATACCATGGAATTACATATTAGACAGCTTTATAAGAATCAGGTTACCAATATTGCAATGTATCCCTATATTTAATTCTATTTTAATTTCCAAAAGTATAAATGCAAGTATATATGTATTTTCTATATGAATTTCAAGAAAGATCGAAGGAAACGAGATTTGAATAGATCCAAATTTTTGTCTCTCCTTTTTTTTATTAAAAAAAGAATCCTTTAAACTATTATTTACGATATCTGTATTCATATAAGGATCTAATTGCAATAAAAAGAACCTTTACATTATTTTAATATACTCGACAGACACACTCTCTATGCGAACGTTTAAAAATAAATATAAATATTTTTATAGTGCACATCGCATGCAAAAACGTGTTTTCGATCTCTAACTTAAACTGCACATTATTTAAAAAAAAAACAAGCATTTTACTGTGTATTATATTTTTAAATTATCAACTAGCGAGTTTTATAATGAGAATGTCAATCCTCCAATTAGCCTGTACGATATTTCACGTATTTATGCATATGATCATAGCCAAGACATCGTTAATTGTACAATACATAATTTGTAAATATATGTATGGTAAAATATTTTATATATATATATATATATTTATATTTATATATATATTTTTTATTTAAGTTCAAGATGCTTTTTCGCGCGTGTCAGAGGTAAAAGGAGGTTTGATTTGTTATTCCTCTATTAGGAACACAGTGATGTGCAGCACATTTTCATACAGGGCAATTGACAAAGAAAAGAGAACAAATGTTCAAATATAAATGCTTATGACACTTTGACTTCTGTGATGCTCACAAAGTGTGAATGTATGTAAAATGCTCTTCCTGATTTATACTATCAGCAATGATGCGCCATTTTTCTCCGCGTTTTTGTTCACAGAAATATTTATATCTGATATACTTATATCTGACAATCTCTTTTTTTTTAATCAGGTACATGAGGAAAATACAATGCTAGAAGCATATATCAGGATGAAATCAGAAAATACCAATAAACACGAGATCTACTATAAATTTGTTATACAATTTGTACGCATCTATTTATCTTCTCTTATCGCCAATATAATGTATGTAATGTCAAAAGAAATATTTTTCTTGCATAAAAATATGTGTTTTAATATTTTAATTTCTTTCAGCAATTAACAACGCATTTATCTGACTTTTTTTCTGAATACTACTTTGAAATCGATCTCGTGTGTAAAACTACGATTGTTCAGTAAGTGTACGCTATATAAGAAAGTTCTCAGAAAATTCTGTTGAATGCAATAAAATAGCGAAAAAGATATGCCGAAGAAATACACATCGGCTTTTTGTCTCACGAATATATCATCAAATATATTTCACTATTTATTTTTCTTTTTCTTTACGTTGAGATGGACGAAACATCGCGTATGTATGAGTATTCCAAGTTATGATACAAGCATCTAAAATGTTTTATGAAAATATCTATAATGTTATCGTATATATTGCGTATATACATTCACTATTTGTTATCGACATTTAATATTTGCATCAACTTATAGATGATAAGAGAGCCGAAAGATGAAGAAGAAATGATCATTATTGCGGAAACATACGTCGGTCGGCTCTACACAACATCTCTCCGATTCTACTTCTCCATTATTTTAAACGCTTGTACCTCCATAATACGAACACTTGGCGAAATCACAAAACGTTATCAACTTACAGTGACGTTTAGATACTTTATAACGAAAATTGTACATATATATATATATATATATATATACATATGAATGAAACAGAATTATATATTCTCAAATAAGAGAATAATGATTCCTTTTTTTAAAGAGAAATGCGCATATCAATTATCATATCTTCTACGTCACTGCCAGTGTTTATCCGAAAACGTTTCGTTGACTCAAGTGTGTCAGAATATTTTTTTTTCTGTCGGTCGATTTCGCAGCTAGCCTAGGCTGGGCTAGCAGCTAGAGTTTCGCAAGCAAGCAAGGCACAGGAGCACACTAAGGGCTCTCAACGTGCTAGGAGGCACTACTCAACAGTTCCATGCTCTTAATGCCTCGTCAACAGCAGCACCAACAAGTTAACACTGGAAACGAAAATGTCTAGAATGTGCGGCATGAACAATTAGTAGCCATGAGAGTATAAAGAGCATCGTAAAATTGAATTATACGTCGATCGTCGTGTGTGTACGTACGCGCACGCACATATTTCAACACAGAGAGAAAGAATAAACACACATTGTTGAAAACACGCATATTGTGTCAAGCCGATGTCGCGGGATTATAATAATTCGCACCGCACTATCGTGCGGCACGAAGAGAGCATTTATAATTGCAAAATTACTGTGTCGCAAGATACGTTGTTGCAACACGTTGCCTTCATTAATTAACATCGCACTACAATATGCGAGATATTAATTCGAATTGTTTTTTTCTATGCTGTGGATATCGGATACTGTTTGTTAAAAATCTAAGGAAGTTCAGGTACCGAAGAAAAAGCGTAAGATTATTTTGTGCATCATTATTTTTTGGCATTTTTGGCATTTTTGACACGTTTACGTATGTATCATTTGATTACTTCTACTCAATCAAAGAATCAAAAATTATTTTACCTATCATGTATATACTGCAAAGATATATATTTTATCTAAATACACACAATGTCTATAAGAAAGTCAACGTCTTCGATTTTTGTAAAATTCACATCTCGTCAGATTCATTGTAGTGTGTGTACATACGTGTGTGCGTTCGATGAAATTTTTTTTTAATTTTCAGTCTTAGAGTCTGTTGCTTTCGATCTCTATGTGTGTGTACATATGTATCTGGTGCGCATACGTATACAGATTGCGTATACAGCAGTGTGTGTGTTAAACATTGAGAAGTATACACTAACACACATTATCAATTTCTTATCAAGGTATTGGACTTCTCCTCGAAATTGTACACATTTTTACCCACATTTACAATAATACATTTTTTTTATGTTTACATTATTATGTTAACGTGAATGAGATTTTTTTATCTCGCGATCTGTGATGTAATCTGTTAGGTACGTATATAGCGTTTGCAACACTGAGACGATAGACTCGCTAAAGCTACTCTAATTAATAAAATGGGAAGGGACGGAAAGAAACAGTTAATGTTGTGTTATTATTGCGTTACGACAATTCCGAGTAGAATTTCGCCACGTGTGTTTAATAACTTGTGCCGATAGAGTCGTTCGAGTATGAAAAAATCGTGAAATGAAATGAAATTGTAAAAAACGCTAAAGCTTATAAATGAAATTTATACAGGCCCAATTGCATACTCGTTTTTTTTTTTTGGCAATGAACGAATACGTTCGGATAATTCGTCGTTTCGCTTCTCAGCGTGAATCATCAGTGTCTGTGCGTTAGAAAAAAAATCTATAATTCTCGCTCGAATATATCTATATAAAGTTAAATTTGTATAAGTTAAAAAAAAGAATATTTTACGAAATAACGCTCTTCGATTAGAGAGAGCTATCTATATTTGTCTAAACTTTGGCCTCGTCTATATATTCAGCAATAGTAGTTATTGCCTCGTATAATTTACTTGTAAGATAAATCGATAAATGATATCTTTATCTTTTCGCGAAACTCTAGAAGAGTGTCTAATTATAATAATTTAACTTTTTTTGCTTTAGATTATAGATGTAAACATGAAACAACGATTGCACAGATTTGAAACGTCTAGTTTACATAGTCAAGCTACTTTACACGTATCTTTTTTCATTTGTATAATTTCTCGTTTCAATCACACACCCTAACATGCGGTGTGGTAATCTGTCATCGATGATACTATATGTCAGGATATCCCTCGCTAAGCGCACTTCCTGTTACAGGTTGCGCTGCATAATGATGCAATCGGGCCTCCCTCTCTTCCTTTGCATATATCCGTATCTTTCTCTCTCTCTCTCTCTCTCTCTCTCTCTCGTTCGCTCTCTCTCTTTCTTTCTTTCTGTCAAATTATATACAATAGCATGGCCATGCAAGGGTGAAGAGCAAAGCTACCATGCCTCAATAGAATTCACGAAAGAACGCTTGTAGAGTAGAAATGGATGATAGATCTAGACGCTGCAGCGATGCAGCAGCATGGGAGGGATCAGCTGTCAACTGACAGCCTCAACCTCCATCTTACTTGAAAGCAAACCCCATCAAAATCATCATCCTTACTTCAGCACCTCACCAGGCCTGCCTTGACGATACGTCTACACAAGCTAAAACAACGTCCATTTGTCAATGTTTTCCGATTGTGGAGAGGGAAGGATCTACTTTTTAAATAGGACAGATAGATTGTGCGTCATCAAAATCGCGTATACGGATTTTGCGCGGAAAAAACATTTATAACATTTTGTGATCCTTTAGCACTTATTATTAGCGACGAGGCGCATCCGTCCTCGTCTACATCTATGTAGAATCCGAACATGTGAAACTGTGCTGCAACACTTTGACGCTATCAATCGATTTCGATCGTCTATAACGTGGAAAATCGCGTGCAACCATTTTTTTTCTTTGTACTGACACAACGGAATGTGAGAAATAATTAACGTGCGACTGGATGAACATTAAGAATCTTGGGAAATTAAGTTTTTCGTTCTCTCTCTCTTCTCTCTCTCTCTCTCTCTTTCTCTCGATATAGTTGTCGTTCACAATCCGAAAGCAAATTGGTACGTGTTATTAAATGCATGGATCTGCATATTCTTTTCAAGCTTGATCTCGTGACAAGAAACAACTTGGACAGCTCCGAAGCTGTTGGCGTCCGACAAATATTCCGGATATGTACATTATTTCGATCATTTCGCGCGCCCGAGCATTAAAAGCAATTTGAATAGAGTGCACGGTGATCAGTGCGATGACATTGATACAGCACGTCGTTGATAAGCGCGCGTTGAGCGGACAGAGACCGAGTATCTATGCTAATGATGCGTGTGACGTGAAAAAAATCTCCAAGCATTTCGTTCCACTTGGCGTGTCGCGAAACAAAAGTGTCTCCTTCCACTTTTGCTCCTCGCTAAGGGAAGGAGAGATTTCACGCATGCATCAACGAGTGTTCGCAGTATCAAAAAACAACGCCGTTTTAGTTTTTTTAAAACATTGAATCTCAGCGAAAGCGAATGCAAATTTGATTTACAATTGACCCTCGAAACGTCAAAGTGAAGCTCTCACTCCGCGAATTGAATTTGGCACATGCAATCGATGATTGGACGAATCATTTTACAAAGTGCACTTTTTCCGCTCAACGCAATTTCCGCGAAAATTCGTGTGTGTCAACATGCCGTCGATATAGATAGAGAACAATCGAAGGGTTCGAATGGTGATCGAAAGCGATTGATTGAGAGTGATCGTCCGAATCGAGAAACGGAATGCAAACATTTATTGTGTGTATAATCACTTTAAATGCGTAACCCTTCGACTTCTTACGTCGTAGTTCTGAAACTATGCAGTCGGAGCGCACGATGCGATGCCATCACGATTCAATTTGAGTCGCCATTGCATTGGAAAACACGAAAACACGTACCTACATGTATGCAATATGCATATATATATATATATATATATTCAATATATATACACATGCATGCATGCATATATGATTATTTTGTATGTATGTGTATATATATATATATATATATATATATATATATATATATATATTACATAATACACATACAAAAGATAGTCGAAGTATATTCGCGAAGTCCATAAAGGAAAAAGAACTGCGTTCTAAAGAACTGCTGGCAGAAAGCTTAACACATTCTGCTCTCGAGGTTATTCCTTGCCAGAAGGTTCTACGCATCGATAAACTGCAAAGTGTTAAAGAGGTCATATTTTACCGTCAATTAAAAGAACTGAATCATCCCTAACGGCCGAGGAAAATCGTTCAATGAATATGGTAAGTTACTTTTGCGCGCGCGAGCGCACACTTTTTAACTATCTCGTAATAGATTTATTTAGTAACTGACTTTAACACCGAGCCTACCATGTTGTGGACGCCAATAGCAGCAGGCTAGGTACAGCGCCAGAATAATGACCAAGACCTCGACGAAGACCAGAGCAGCAGCCACACCGATCACTATCGCCGCATTCTCCTCGATGGCGGTCACTATGGCCTTGTAGCAACCCTACAGACAAGTAATCATCTTAATGTGACTTGTACTTAAATGTAACTTTATGTAATGCACATTCTTTAGCTTTAAAATCGATATTTTCAATCTATGAAGTGCTACATTTTTATTAACTTAATTTTTACAGCTGGATTTTAAGTATAAATTTGACACTTGATGGTTTTCAAATTTTAATTTGAGAATTATACAAGGAAATATTTAATATCGTAATAAAATAAAAATATCAAATCCTTTTTATCACCTGTTTGAAAATGTAAATTTAAAAATAATTGTGAAATTTATATATATACATATACGTGGGGCTTATATAAATGTTTCTCCATCACGCATAGCACAAGACTATTTGTTCAATTTGTACGTGCATCTGGATGCCTCGAACGAGAGTTAGGAGCACGCAATGCCAATGCCGAGTCACGCTCAGAAAATTGTCAAGGAGAAAGTGTGCTATAGACGTGAATACATGTCCGTACTATGCTATATTTTAGCAATAATTAGGCTCTGCGTATAATAGAGAAAATATTAGAAATAAATATTAAGAATAAAAATTATTTTCAAATAATAAAATCGAAAAGACTGATACAAAAATACAAAATATAAAGGATTAGGGCTAATAAACTAGTAAGAGTTTTTTCAGAGAGAGATTTGTACAGAGATTTTATTATTAAAATTAAATTTAAATTAAATAAAATTTTATTATTAAAATTACTAAAATAATTCCTATTCCTGATGTTTAATATTTATTTCTTTATTGTGCGCAGGACTTTAATGATTATACTCCCAATTTTTATTTACATCAAGAAAGATGAATGAAGTAATAATAAGATTCAACTTACCATTAAATAATATGAATTGGATGCGGTAGGACTAATTGGACACGAAGGATCCTTCAGAACGTTAGATCCTTCGCTCACTTTTATGCAGCAAGCCTCGGGAATCATTTTTCCGGTAGCAGTCAGGTTCGTATTTTCGCGAAAGTCTAGGTAACTTTCCACACCGCAACAATGCAGCTGAAAATATTTCCATTAATATCAAATAATGCCTCTCATGTCATCGACTTCAAAAACACATTATTTTTTGTTTTATTGTACCCCTTTAAAATTCTCGTAACCAACAGGAATGCAGAGAAAATATATTATATATTCATAAATAGTTAGATAATTATCTCTCCTTATATCATTTATGATTATTATAGCTATTTAATGACGCGAGATAACTATTTGATGACGCGAGATTCTTATTGAACTTAATAGATACTTCTAGCTATCGATTTCAATGAACTTTAAAACGGTATAAATGTAACACTTTCCATGCATTTTTCTCCATAATTTACCGATAAATTCTAAAATAAGTAAGTTTGTGGTTTGCAATTTTACCACAAAGTGGTAGGATGGTGAACCCGATAGCCCACTAATATCCGTAATATTGCTAACTTTCACTTATGTGCAGTTAGCGAATCGCTTTAGAGCCAATAATTAATCACAGTTATATATGCAAGATAAATAAAATCCGGAAAAATCGATATATACCGATTAATTCATGCGTCAACTCGTCGTTAGTTGATCATCATTAACTGATGATTAATTAATTAATTTATGAAATAATAATTGATGTAGCTTTACCTGGCTCATAATTCCATCCCACGCGACTGTCACAGTTTCAGCCTTATCAACGGTGGTCGCATAATATTTGATGGTCGACTTCAGGAAGTTCTGAGTACCTTTCTCGGCCTGCATTTAAATTTCATATTAAAGTATGAACCTTATAAATAATATATATCTGCAATCGTCATTCATTCAATCCGCACTTTCGTAATTACTCGATGCTAACGAATCACTCGAGCTAACGAAATATTTTACTAGATGGAAACGCGTTTGTGCAAAAAAAAAAGAGAGAGAACATAAAAGTTACATAAATACGCACGTCTCCTTTAAGTCCAAAAGCTAGGCCAACTACCACACATTCCAGGACTAAAACCAGCAAGATTAGAATGCCGTACTGTAATCACAGGAAAAACATCATTAATAAAATTATTTTACATTTTTTATATATTTTTTTATGTAAAATAATTCTCTTCCCGATTGTATCATCATTAATGAATCATTTCATCATTTTCGCTACTATATATCACAATTTATTGAAAAAAGAGGAAAAAGAAGGAAAGAGAATCGAGGTGAAAAAAATCTTGCATAATTAAATATGTGTTTAAATTGTTTTCAACGAGTTGTGTTAATTATTCTTACTGAAACTGAAAGACTTCCATAAAAATAACAAAAATAGTACTTATCATAATATATCTATTAACATAAAATTATATTTGCGTATTAAAATATGCGTAATATTTTCGAGATAATACACAAAAAGTACATAAATGCTTAAACTTGAAGGTATTTTTGTGTTTTGCGAATGAAAAAAATTATATGTAATTATTTCAGATAAGCATCACGTTGCGAGAATTTGGAATGAAACAAGCTTTATTAGAACGGACTTACGACGCAGAGAAGACATCTAGACTCGAACATGGCACCGCAATATCCAAGGAAACTGACGATAAACGTAAGAGCACCGGCTACGATAAGAATGTAAGATATCATTCTGATGACATCGGCGTCTGTTTTATTCTGCAAAACAAAAAAGGTGCGAAAGATGAATACAGATCGAGCTTATAATAAATATTCATCATCGAATGTGGGATGTAAAATTGCAGTTGATAAATTCTTTAGAAAATATCTTATATCGCCGGGAAATCGTGTGCATTTATCATAATACTAAAAACTTATTAAAGTTATATATATTTAGTAAGAAATATGGTTCGCCAAAATTCTCTTCAGGGATTGCAAAAATATTGAATTATGAAAATAAAAGAGATCCTCTTGTTTATATCAATTTTTCAATGAATTTTCCAATGAGAATTTTATTGATGAATTATGAAAATAAGAGTCCTCTCTTTTATCTTTCGAGAACTCTTGACTTACAATTTCTCGCTCTCGTTACATCGCAAAATACTTATAATCACTTAATAAATTCCTAGATTCTGCGTGTCGTATATTCAGAGAAATCAAGGAGTTTGTAACTCCTTGAATAATTCATTTACAAGGCTCAATTTGTAAACTTGCGCGGCGAACTATACATAATATTGCCTTTCCATAAATTAAGATATCAATAGTGCTTTCTGTCGCTCTACGTCATTCTTATGTATATATACTGACATATATATTTATTGTTAGATATATAATGTATGTAGAGACATGCATTATAAGCACGCTGGTTGCACGAATAATTATATTAAGTTAAGCTCGTCGACTCCATCATCAGTAGAGTATCCATGCGAGTATTGTACATCGTTACAAAATATGCTCGAGATAAGTGGATGACATAATGACTCGCGAAGGGGCACACTTGGAATACTTATAAGCTCGCTATATGCGAACTGTCATCTCCGTCGTATGTGATGGATATCGAGTTTCAGAGGCAGAGACCAACCAGAGAGTGCCAGCATAGACCTTCCTTTATACAAAGCGTCTCTCTCGCATCTGGATGTCTGCTGGACCCTGAAGAAGATTCTCGTGAGCCGATGTTAGAAATTGCGCAAAAAATTTGCGCTAATCCCTATCCATTCGTTAGCAAAATCTACCTTTGTCGAGGACTCTTCAAGATTCGAAAAATATGCAGAGCATCTTCCTCGCATCTGGATGTCTACTGGAGCCTGAAGAAGATTCTTGTGAGACTATGTTAAAAATCGTGTAAAAAAATATTCTCTCGTCTGTGCTAATCCCTATCCATCTGTCAACAAAAACTACCCTTGTCAAGAGAATTCTTCAAGATTCGTAAAGTATCAGAGAGAGAATTTTTCTTTAGAATTTACCCTGAAAATCTTATGGTAATCGTGGGACAATATAGTATTAGAAGAATTTTATAAGAGTTTTTCTGACTGATATTTACAATAAAATTTATCGAACACATTTTATATCTTATTCTAATAGATATTGCTATTTTAATATTATTTAATTATTTTAATATTATATTATAATAATATCTACACTAATAAAATTTTACTAAAAGTATATTAATATCTACCACACTAAGATTTTTCCACATTCTTGATAAGTTTTATCTGACAGATAGTATATCGTCGACTCTTTTCAGACAAATTCTAAAAAAAATTAAGATTAAATTTACTATGTCAAACATATTTTACATCTTATTGTGACAGATATTAATATATATTTTAATGTGGTAAATATTAATCTCAAAAAGAAACTCATAAAATTCTCTCTGCATATGTGAGGCATTTCCCTCACATCTGAATATCTACTGGACTCTGAAGAAGATTCTTGAGAGTCGATATGGTGTTTATAAAAATTAAAAATCGCAAAAAAAAAATTCTCTCGTCCATCCATCAGCAAAATCTACCCTCAATCGAGGACTCTTAAAGATTCAAAAAACATATCTCCGATAACCATTTGACCAATTGATTAACGAGTCCACCAGGGCCTTGAATCGTAAAAGGGATAATCCTCGTTCCCTCGAGATTTAAAGAGAGAGATCACACTCGAGAGATAAACGCGCGAAAATGAGCGCTTTCGTGGTATAGGATCGCGAATTGTGCTGTTAGATTGAGACAATCATACGGGATGACGCGTTGTTTTATGCTCGCAGAGACGCGACGAGAGGATTAAACCGACATTCCACCGACATTGTATGTACCTGCCCGTGTCTGTGTACGAGATTACTTCGTAAACACGTTGACATTCTTATCTCGAACACCTGTTGAACGGATATAAGGTATTTTTAGTTCGACGCCGGTTCTCTCTTTCTCTCTCTCTCTCTTGTTATTATAGGCGCGTCGACGTTGCACGTCTTATTGAACGTGCCGCTACTACTACTAACCCGAAGCACGAAGCGTGCCGCGAAAAATCAGGTCACCAGGTGAAAGGACTAATAAGGGTATATCTCGTGTTCGGTTTCACCGACTCGTTCCGCCAGATTGATCGGGAACCGATTGCACGAATGATAAGCGAGGGTTACAGCACATCGAAGGGTTTCGGCTTCAAAAACGTACCTATATATTTAAGCTCTACTTAAAAGTCCCTTTAAAATATCCCGCGGAGAGATCCGTCGAATATATTTACGTTTCACGGGGTGTGTTTTCTTCCTCTCCCTCTCTCGTAACCGAATTTCTGCTGGTTCTCTCGTCGCGCATGAGCCATGCCCCAACATCGTTCTCCGAAATGACCCAATTTAACGCATTTACAGTGCATGGATGTGCGTTGCGCGTGCGTCAGCGAGTTAATGCATTTTCTGGAGCTCTAACAACGTACGTCCTAAATACGTCCTAAATTCCTCGCTTTTATTTACACGCTTGCGCGGATATGCGTCGCGCGTATTTATTTGACGGATAGGAAAAGAGGACGTCGTGTCGTCTTTCTATATTCCGAAGAGCCAAGAATATATCCCCGAATTGTCTCTCGTTTACAAGAGAAATTTTCCTTTCTAATTTCAAGCCGAGTTCGCGTTTCGGAAGTGTGTTATCGTCGTTCTCCTCGCTAATGTGTCGACGATACATACAACTAATCGCGCAAGACTCTTGCTAGTCTTTATTATTATTATTAGCATCGTTGACTTTCTGGTCCTCTGTCGCTTGGCAAAGTGGCAATTAACACCGAATATTATAAGTTGCGCAGGGAAACGGAAAGGTCGTTGTTGAGAAAATGTAAACGACACGCTGAAAAAAAATCCATGTACTTTTACATGGAAATTACTTAGTAAAAATACATATATTAATGTAAAAATACATGAAAAATATAGGTAAAATTACTAATTTTATGCAAAACTCATATGTAATTTAAATTTTACTATTTTTACTTTATTAGAATTTTATTTTATAAGTATTTATCCATTTTATTTATAACATTATTTTATAGCATTTATATATTACTTGTGTAATTCCATGTTCAGTGGAATATTTTTAATCTTGAAAATATATAAGAATATATTACATATGAAATTACATATAATCTGTAATTTTCCATATAAGTACCAAGTATTGCATAATTATGCTGAGTCGGAAAACACCTAGTCTAATTACGTAATCTTACACAAATATTTTTTTCAAGAGCATTATCTCAAGCTAAGTCGCTCGATAAGAATATATAGGGGATATTCCGGGATGAAATACTTAATCGTCTTTCGTCTTTGCAGTTCGCCTGTTTCCACATGCATTTACTATTCTCTCCCTGCAAAGTGTATCTATACATTTTTTATATACAAGTGCATTTTCCTTCGCGAAAATGTAAAAATTCTTTTCCCTTCGGCTTTTTAGGTCAATCTCCTCCTTCACAAAAATTCTAGCTTTTAATTGGTTTAATAAATTCTTTCCGAAGATAAGCGACGATCCGGGCTAATTAAGGCCCGACAACTTAAGCAATCAACAAACTAACGGTTAGATAAGGCTCTTATATCTTGAGCAACTTTAACTCGTTTCGTTTTCAAATTGAGAATCCTATTCGCGAGGAGTTTCTAAAAGAGACAACAATTATAGTTCGTCTCCGATTAGAAGTGATTAGAAGCAACTTTCTAAGCGTTTCGAGCCTTCGCTAATAACGCGCGCGTGAATGCTAATTGTGTTAATTTTTTCGTATATTATAATTTAGTAGAATCAAACACACAAATTACAAAAAAATTCAAGAGAGGTTCATACATGTATCGCGCATTTAAATTAGACTTATTTAAATGTCTCGCTGTAATAAATTCGATTTAAATCGTAGCGGAAACGCGTTATCCTTTCGCCGCAATATATATATATATATATATATATATATATATATATATGAAAAAAACGAAAGCGGCACTTTTACTTTTCTTCGTGGCGTTCCGCTATCTAGCTTCGACATCGTCGCGATGACCGATGCACGATGTAAAAAAAATTCCCGGCGATGTCCTCTACGATATGAGACTCTATAAAATATTCACGAACATCTACCAGCTCCTGCAATTCGGAAAGAAACGTGAAATCGCGCTTTTCGAGAGCTTTTGGTTTTAGCTTTCCTACACGGAAAGATAGGATTTTATTTTAGAATTTATCCTGAAAATCCTGGGACAATACAGTATTGAAAGAATTTTATAAGAGTTTCTTTGATTAATATTTGCCATAATAAAATATTAATACGTACATAGTAAATACTAGTAAAATTATAATCGAACATATTTCATATCTAATTGGGCTAGATATAAATATTTTTTATTGTGGTAAATTCTAAGATAAAATTCTCTTTGTGATACGTGGAGGATTCATCAGATTAATATAATTTATCACAATAAAAAATATTAATATGTATCACAATAAGATATAAAATGTTCAATTAATTTTACTATATACATAGTAAAATTTTACTAAAAAATTTTCAAAAAATTTTATTAAAAATATTAATATTTATTTTCTACTACAATAAGATATAAAATAAAATTCGATTAATTTTACTATATCAAAGATATTTTATATCTTACTGTGCTAGATATTAATATTTTTTTTGTAATAAATATTAATCAGAGAAACTTTTACAAAATTCTATCAATATAATATCGTGTCTCACGATTACCATATGATTTTCAAGGTAAATTCTAAGAGAAAATTCTCTTTGGGATACGTGGGTCCAGTGGACTATGGACCACGAATCCACGATGGAGATCATCCCGATCCTCCCACGCGTTGTGCTAATGTGACAACCAATCATCTCATCAGCGACCAAGTACCGATAATTACGTTTCTCGTTTCTCCCTGTCGTAGAATTGTTATCTACCTATCTACGTCGTATCTACATCATCACGCTGCGCGTGCAAACAATCTGCCATTCAGATTTTCTCCTATCGCTCGCCAATCAAAATAAATCAGATATTAAAATCTCAACGAGCTAAAAAGAGCCGGATGATCATCAGTGCGGTGCGTCAGTTTCCAGGAAAAAATTAATTTTCATTAAAACTGATTAGTTGGTGCACGGAAGGACACATTTTCCCTGGGACGATGCCAAGTAATTAAATAGATTATCAATATATTCAAGATTTTACTTTTTAATCAAATATCTCTGTGTCTCTTCCAGAAGAAACGTAAGTTTCTTAGAAAGAAAAATATCGGACAAAATTAATTTTTTCTTCAATCTGACGCACCTGATTGTCCTTGTCTGAGTTTTTCTCTAACCCGTTTATTATATTTCACACTGTGAAACCTTAAATAAAGTCTTAGTCGTCAGATATTTTCAAGACATGCCAATTTATTTAAATCAGAATATTATAAGAAAATATATGTGAAAAAATATCATAAGAAATTCTCGAAAGTGTAAAATTGTGTCTCGGAATAAAGGAAAGCTAAAGGATTTTTTGTTTGGCTATTCTTCGAATCGAGAACAACTGTCGATCAAGATCGAATGAGATTCACGCGTCCATGGCACTTTTGAGTGTTGCATGACACGACGCGATCGAGATGTTACCCAAGTTTTATAATAATTATAAAGTGAAACTAGCAGAATAAATGTTAATTACCAAGTGATAAGAAGACACGAGGCAGAGTTGCAGCGTATTAGAAAGCGCGCGTTACGACGGGTCATCCTCTAACAATAATAATTAACGTCATATACTTTTCTACGCCACGTTTGCAATAAAAAAAATTACTCCGTGAAAAAAATCCTCTTCTTTCTACTTGTTTTTAGAATATCTTCTCCTACACGTATCCTCGTGCGTAAAGATTTATATAATTCTTCTGCTTTGTGAGAACGAGGAGAAAAAATAGGCACGTCATTTTGCCAATAAAGGATAATTAGATACGCAGGACGAAAAAAGGAGCACGCAGTAGTAATTATTCCAAGGAAGTACATATATGATATCCTCTCTATTGTTCTCGTTAATCGTGACGCTCTTCAAGGCAAGTCGCTCTTTTTATGCCTCTTCTCCTCGCAGTTTATAGAGTCAAGCACCTCGTTAAACGTTAGATTATCTCGTATCTATAAGCGACTTGCGGTTAAGAAAAGCCTAGTGAGTATATGTATATGTTATGGCTGTTAAATATTCTATTCGTTGGCATCTTTTCGAAGAAGAAAAACAAAACGTATATGCTCATCTCCGGTAAGTTGACCTAAAACTAGTTTTCCAGTATATAGAGATTTTGTGGTCTTCGTCGGAAGCTGAAAGATGCCATTTGTTTATTCATTATTCATTCGGTATTATATAATATCGACGTAAGAAAAATTCGAGAGATAAAAAGAAAATATATTTTCCTTGCATATAAATATATATATATATATATATATATGCTTATGCTTTGCGTGTCTATTCCAAGGACATATTTAGTATATAAAAATCACGTTATAATATGCTCGTCGTGTCGTTGCGACACCGATGTATCGATAATCCATGACAATGGTATATTACAATATACGTCATGTATATCTCGTTACACATCTGCATTTCACACGTGCTTGTTAATGAATAAGTCGCGTTAGCGAGGATAGAGTTTTCCACTGCTGACGAAAGGAAGAATAAATCGCCAAGAATAATTTATACTTATGTATGTCTGTCGTCGTAAAAATAAGAGTTAAAGATATTTTTATATATCGAGAAGTATTTATATACAAGATGTTTCAGAACAGAGACGATTTTTCCCTAGTAAAAATGTTGAGGGAGCCCATCATTTTTAGCATGTTCTCAAGTGTTGCTATATCATGTATCTTTATAACTAATCCTTATATTAAAATTTTATTAAAGCAAACTCTACCCTCAAATGAACTGAAAAATGTAGTTTTGTTAATATTTTATTTTCACAATAAGGCTTAGTTTCCAAAAAAGCCTTATCATTCTAAAATGATTGGTGTCTTAACATTTTCGCTGAAGAAAAATCGCCTCCGAATGATACCAGGAATCTGTGATTAAAAACTTTTCTGCCAGTTCTGAAACACCCTGTATACGATAATAATCGCGTATAAATCAATAATCATCAAATTCAGTCTTGTTCATGTAAAATCTCCTTCTTGCACCTCTACCTCCATAAGTTACATAACAAACTTACGACATAATTACCATGATTGCGTAAGAGAAACTTGGAGCAATATAAATAGCCGGTTATAAGAATACGCATTCGAGTCATTTTTTCCTCTAACATATTCCAGCGCGGATAGACTCTGCTCGGAAATTCTTACGTAGAACAAATCGCGATCGTAATCTCGAAAAAAACGGTAAAAACGGTAAAAAAAATTAGCAGAGCGATTATACCGATTAATATTCGTAAGCATTTTGAAATTTGTCTCCCCCAAGATTTTCAGAATACACGTCGGTCACGAAAATTGTTGCGACCTTATCTGAATAAGAAATCGGTAGAAAATTAAATATTCTCGTAGAGATTACAGAGCAGGAATTTAACACGACGAAACTCGTATACAGGAACCGGTATTTCCCAGCTGAGGATTGTCCAAGCTCATTCAAGGTATCGGAAAGACTATATATTTCTATATCGAGAAAGATCTTGCAAGAGATTTCGTTTTATGAGCAATTAAGTCAAAGTTAAATTAGCGAGTTTGGCTTTGCCATAATGTGATGCGTTTCTATGCGTTTCTATACGCATTCGTAAAACTTTAGTGAGCTAGTATTATTTTGATGCTCGCCCAATTTGCCACACAACCACATAAACAGGTGGTGCTAAGTGAATCATGATACAATTTTCTCGGAAATTAGGTACGCAGAGAGAATTTTCTCTTAGAATTTACCCTGATAATCTCCATCAGCAATAAGATATAAAAATATTCGATTAATTTTACTATATATGTACATAATAAAATTTAATATTAATATTAATATATATAATATTTATTAATATATTTTATTGCGGTAAATAATAATCAGAGAAGCTCTTATAAAATTCTTATTCCAATACCATTATATATTGTCTCAAAATTATCATGATTTTCAGGGTGAATTCTAAGAGAAAATTCTCCGTGTAAAAATGCACATCTCGTGCGCACTATTTTTAATAATTTAATTAATTTATATTTAATTAAATTATTATATATCTAAATTATTTATATATAAATTAATAATTTGATTAATTAATTTGTTAATACTCTGTCTTACCAAGATGTCGGATTGGTCCAGTTTCCCGATGAGATTGGTGAACGAGCTCCTGTCGGCGAAAAGCCATATACCGACAGTCAGTGCCGCTCCTCCGGCGACCTGCAAAACGAAACACCTCGGTTTACATCTCCGTTCTGCTTCATGGACTTCAAGGTTGACCGAAGGAAACAGCCCCGGAAACTCGAGCGCGGGCTTGGCAATTTTCACTCGCGATTTTCGCGCGCGTTTCTCTGCATATTAAATTCAACATTTATTGGCCGATAAAGAAAAAAAAAAGCGAGTAAACGCGAAAGAAGGAAAAATCTTCCGATATATTTTATTCATCCTATCGCGAACACGCAAGTGTGGTTTCTCTCTCGAAACTCAATTTTACTTCCACCTTCGCCTCTGACGTCAACGAGATACGTTCGCAGTAAGAAATCAAGAGTCGCGGCACCGTAACGGCATACATAAATTGAATAAATTTTTTGTATGTTAGAAGAGATTTCCTATATAAAGTTCAAACATAACTACAGTGACCATCCGTCTTTCATGTCTTTTAGATTTATTTATTTTTCCAAAACTCCATTTTGGAAATGGTTATTTCTAAAATGTTGTCCTTTCTATTACAATTTTATTCCTTGTTTTTTATTTTGCGTTTTAATGTCTGACGTCATAATATAATTAATATAAAAATTAATATATTAATATAAAAATTTTTTTTTTCTCGCAGATTAATTAGGAAAAAAGAAAACCATAAAATTTTCCGGTTTGTCCTGCAATTTTTCTCTCAGAAAATATAAGTACTCTCTTTCGTCGCGATTCTTTTTTCTCGCAGTTTCGCGCTTTCGTAAGTGGTTCGAGATACTCGCAAGTGTAATATAAACGTATAATTTGCACAAAACGAGTGAGAAATGCGTCGTCAAAGCGAGAGTTCGGGCAAAGGCAAAGTGAAATTACGCGATCGTGACTAGTTGCGACGTTGATGAATTATCAGCCGCGCGATCGCGACGCCTCGTAAAGTTTCGCAGACGCAAGGAAATGTTGCGGACTCTCTCAGATCACTATTATTATACGGAAAACTCGGGTATATACTTACGAAAAATACGAAGTTGAAGAAGCAGAGAAAGTACTTGGCGCACTGCGACGCGCAACTCATTTTCGCGGCAGGTTTCTTTTAACTGCACCTGTAACAAATTAATACGTTCGTTAATAATTATACATTACATATACATATATAGACGCGCTATATTCCAGATTTATCGAAATCACCTCTTTTTCATTATTTTCTTTTCAACGACTCGAAGCCAATTTCTCTTTAACGCGAACGAGTCGAGAGATGATTTCTGTGAATCGAGTGACCTTTCGACGACAAAGTTTTAAAAACGTAAAAAGGATTTTATTCCATTACATTCAATCGAGAAGACTTTATTTTGATAGATTCATAATTTGAAGATTAAAGGTAAGAAATTGAAAAAAAAAACAAAGATCTCTTATTTTTCGCTACGCAAAAAAATTGACCGAAAATTGATCCGTGTATATAATTTATAAATTTTTGAAATATGTGCAGTAGGTATAGTAATTAAGAAATTCCTAATATTTACGATTTTTGATGGTGCAAAAAAAAGAAGAGATGAGAGCAAAAGAGACAGAGGTAAAAGGAAAGAGAAAGGATGAGGTCAAACTACAAATTATAAAGTGCTCGCTGGAACGTGACTAATAATAAGCTGTACATGCAAAAAGAATGCATTCAAGCCCACACTTGTCGTCTGTCCGTATCGGATGTATGCTTCGATTCGAAGCCGATTTTGCGACAGGCAGATACCCTGACAGCCGACTAATTATAATTAGCGTGGGCGAGCGCAGAAACGTATCGTCGCGTGTTGTGGGCGGGAAATAAAGAGAAGGGCAAATTGTCCGAATTAGAGCCACGGAGAGGCTTATTGTTAGTTGCTAATCAGTCTCAAGGATGTTGTTCTTTTTTTTCCTTCGTCGAACTAAAGCGCGAATTAAAGCTATTCTTCGACGTCCTTGACTCTGCGTTACAGATCTCTCTCCGGATTAAAGCGGAGAAGCTTCTTCCCGCCAAAATTACTAGCGGATCCTGGCATCGATAATGGGGATTTAATTAATATTTGTTGTTTCATGCTTTTACTTCAGGATCAACGACGAATTTTTTTTTTAATCAAGGTGTCACGGAGAGAATTTTCTTTTAGAAATTACCCTGAAAATTATTATAATAATGGGACAATATGCTATCGGAAGAATTTTATAAGAGCTTCTCTGGTTAATATTTATACCACAATAAAAAACATTAATATCTACCACAATGAAATAAAAAATATGTTCGATTAATTTTACTATGCACATAAAAGTAAAATTTACTATGTACATATTAACAATTTTTATTGTGGTAAATATTAATCAGAGAAACTTTTATAAAATTCTTCCAATAGCACGTATTGTCCTATACTATTATCATGATTTTCGGGATAAATTCTAAAAGAAAAGCCTGTGCACAAGAGCGAGGGTGCATGGAGGTGTCGCTTATCAAAATCCGGCATTTTATCACGGGGAGACATTTGACGTTGGAAATTAAAAGGCAACGATCTCCTCATTTCGCGCTGCGAGAGCGCGCGCAAGGATAAAAGAGAGAGAGAGGACTTCCGTTCCACTCGAATTCGAGTCGACCGAAGATCAGCGAGGCGGAAAGGACCGCGGCTTGATCAGGCGACCTAATATCGAATATCCAGAGCACGGTTCTCGTTACTACACGAGAACTCCGTTCATCCCCTCTTGGGTCGTCTCGCGTTGCTTCGGCGCAGCAGCGGTATCGACTGCGGATGCTGCTGCAGCAGCAGCAGCCTCTGGTCCTCCGTTCTCCAAGAGAGTGAGAGAGAGAGAGAGATGATGATGATGATCATCATCATCATTCCGCGTATTTTCCGCGACCTGGCAATCTTCGGCGCGACAAACACGACACGTCTTCAGAAGTCTCGCCATTAGCGGATCTCCCCGACGTCTGTAATGACCTGATGAACAGGAGATAGAAAGAGAGAGAAAGGGAGAAAGGGAAGGAGAACCTCGGGCCGGGAAAATCGAGAGCAGCGACTAGCTCCGGCGGGACGCAGAGCTCCCGTTCCTCCCGGAAATCGATGACTACCAGGGGCGAACCGTCCCGACACGAGACACGACGACACGCGGAAAATTGGATCATCCGAGATAGCGCGAGATGCTGGGGTTCCAGGTCAGTAGGTCGACGCGTCGCTCGGGCTCTTTATTCCCTTCCTCCTCTCCTCTTCCCTGCTTTTCTCCCGACACTTTGTACCGCAAGAAGCTGCTGCATCTTCTCTTTGCCTCGACATACACGGAGAGAGAATTTTCTCTTAGAATTTCACCTGAAAATCGTGTAATCGGAGGACAATATATGTATATGTGGTATTGCAAGAATTTTATATATATATTTACACCATAATAAAAAAATATTAATATCTATAATACAATAAGATATGTATATGTTCGATTAATTAATTTTAGTAAAATTTATTATGCACATAGAAAGTTGCTTTTTTACTTGTTTTTAGAATATATCTTTTCCTACAGGCATCCTCGTGTGTTAAATTAAAACTTGTATAATCCTTTTATCAGAGTTTCTCTAATTAACATTTATCACAAAAAATATTAATATAAATATTATAAATATTAATAAAAATATTAATATAAATAAAAAATATTAATATCTTATTTTATATTATATCTTATTATGTAGTAGCTATTAATATTTCTTATATCGTGGCAAATATTAATCAGAGAAAGTCTTACAAAATTCTCGCAACACCATATATTGTCATACGATTATACCACGATTTTCAGAGTAAACTTAAAGAGAAAATTGTGTATGTATACTTCCACGACGTGTAACACCATTTTCTTCTATTTATGCGTTTGAGACTCGATTCCGAACGTGATTCATCACTGCGGGCGATACCGGATTCGTGAGATCGTCATAGAGAGACGAGAAATCACAGTGAATTTTTCTTTTCTCGCGGTACATAGTGAGTAAAAAGCTCCGAAGTAAATTAGATTTTTCGCGCATGTACTCATTCACGTTTCAGATAGATTGAGCAGAATATACTCGCTTCTTAATTGTCCCTTTGATTAGTGATTCAATCTGAACGTGTCCTAGATTTTCAACGAAAATGGACTTTATGAGATTCGATCGTGATTCATATCAGCTATATATAAAAGTACCAGAAAGAATGGAAATACGTGCGATTTTTCGTCCCTTTGACGTTATAATCTAATATAGAATCTTAATGCTTTTCAATATAATGTTTTTTTTATTTCTCGACACGTCATTAAAAGTTTCAAGCAACGTAGGCGAGATATCATAGTCAATTGCATAAAACAAGGAATGCAGAAAAGCAATAATATAAATATTTATGAAACGCAATTAATAGCGAATATCAGAATGCTTATATAGAGCAACACCTACGAGCTCAGAACTTATTAAAATTGTCTCAACGATTGAATTTATACGCGTACACAATTTTCTCTTAGAATTATTTACCCTGAAAATCATAATAATCGTGGGACAATATTATATTGATAGAAATTTATAAAAGTTTCTCTGATTAATATTTACCACAATATAAAATGTTAATATATCAACCACAATAAAATATAAGATATCTTCGATATAGTAAAATTAATCAAACTTATTTTATATCTTATTATAGTAGAAAGTAGATATTATTTTTTAATAAAATTTTTAGTAAAATTTTATTACGTACATAGTAAAATTAATCGGATATATTTTATATCTTATTGTGGTAAATATTAATATATTTTTTATTGTGTAAATAATTTAATCAGAGAAGCTCTTATAAAATTTCTCCCAAATTCTACCATATTGTCCCAAGATTACCATGATTTTCAGGGTAAATTCTGAAAAAAAATTCTCTCTGTGTACTTAAAATTGAATAAATTCAAACTGTCCGAAAATTTAGGACACTCACGTCTCAAGGCGTGATGTCTCTCTTTCTTCCCTCCCTAACGGGAAGTAAAATGCTAATATCGTGTGCACGCGCTGCATACACGATCCCGACTAAAGTTCTGTTTGAAACGTCGAAAAGAGTAATAGGGTGTCGTGTATATAAAGTATATCTTTCGGCGCCAACTTTCTCGGGAGAAGGATCCGAGTGAATTTAAACAACGATGCGGCAGCACCTTTCTCCTCAGACGAGCTTAAGTACTTGAGCGGCGTTTCCCTAATTTTTCATAGACCATATCAGTAAGTCGAGTAAAAGCGAATCTAGGACTTGTAGTTCGAGACAATCAGCTGTGAACTGACAGTGGAACTATGGAAGGCAGGCGTTGACGACGTTTCGCTTCGTCGCCGCAAACTACGTCGCGAAGATTTCAAGGCAAACCAATCCCGCTATGCATGCATGCTAATGCACGACCATCGATAATGGCGTTGCATATATTACCGTCGTATAATTATTATCGCGTGCAGTGCATCTCTTCAGATCACGCGGATACTGGAAAAAAGAACGTTTCAATTATATAGATACTGCTCGCGATAAAAAAACAACTTATCTTCCAGAGATATACGTAAGCATCCGAGCTTGTTTCAAGATATGCATATGATATCCTAGATGAAATATAATCGCGGAATTTCTACGATTTCGCTTTTCGATGGATGCTCCTCGAGTGAATCTCTCGCGGTTATATAAAAAAAGAGAGAGAAAGAAAATAAAGTCTAATAAAATTTCCACAAAAAGAGTCGTCGTCGAGAAAGCGGAACCAGGTCGATTTTTATCAATTTCGTGTTCTTAAAAATAACAAAAAAATCTGCTCGTTTATTTTTCTTCGAAAAAATCATTGATATGGAAAACTCGATTCTATCCTTGAACCGATCCATCCAAGTCCTCGGTCTTTTAACCAAGCAACGGTACACGTTGCACGATATGCCGTAAACGTTCGTTCATTCATTCGTGTGTATGCGTTTCCGTAACTTAAAAAGCCGTATCCCGCGACGACTTCGCAACGAATGTGCGCTTTCACCGACAACAAAATGCCACTTCGCTTGGTCGGAGCCTTTTAGAAGGCCGATAAGAATCGCACGCGTGCGTTCGCGTTTCGATCGTAAGCGTAATTTACGTAAGCCGGGACTTTTCTCAAC